TCTGCACCCAGCCTCAGACAAGGTGAGGGCCTTCATTGAGAGGAAGGCTAACAGGAAGTAGTCACTGCCTGCAGGGCTCTCAGCCAATAAGGAGCAAGATGACACACGACAGGGAAGGCTATATTGAACTGAATCAGGCATTCTGTACATGTGGAATTGTGGGTAGTGTCACAATGTTTTCTTGTTTAGAAGCACTTTTCTTCTTCAGACACTTCCTGTTAAAGATGTGAATGATAGTTACCATCTGCAGCTCCTCTTTTAGCTCATTCTTTTGAAAATGGTTTTGATCCAGAACATTCTCTTCTCTGGTCAACAGACATTAGCCTTAGTAAGAGACCGCTAACATAGAGGAGCATTTAGCAACCAGGATGTGTGAATTGTTTAGTAGTGTGTTCATCATAACTACTTTATAAGGAGACAATATGACAGATAATGTGTTTTTAGCTTCTCCTGTCGTAACAAATAATAATAAATGAAGTGTTTAGTAAGTAAAAATATCTTTATAAACTCAATGACAGCACCGTTGTATTCATCCAATCCACTATAATCTGGCCAAATTCAAGCTGAATTAAAAAGAAACTTGTTCATTGGTGGTGCATTGAGGTGCCAATGAGGTTATGTAATTAAAAGAGCTCCAGCAAAAGCTCAAACAAAAGCAAGCAGAAAGCAGGATGGAAATATGACATTTAACGTTCTATGTATCATTGTGAGAAAGGTTACAGTCCCTCATGTTTCCAGTGGCAGCTAGAGGACATTCAAGTGACATGCTTCAAGTACAGAACATTAGGATTCACTGCATTTACATTGCATTTTGTCACATTTAGTTTGAGTTTTTATTGATTACACTTGTTCCACATTATAATGTGATTAGATTGTGATATTTCAATGTATTATTTCTGTTTGCATTATGACTTTCCAGGTGTTTTGTTATTTTATTATTGCAAATGTTCCATTCCTGGCTAGACAAAAGGAGCAAACCACAAACCTTAAAGTTGTTTAAGATTGTTTTCCCAAGAATGGATTAAGGTGACTTGTGTTAAACTATATATTTATGTGATTGAATGAGGTTTTCTCCCCTTTGGTAATGAGATTTTGTTCTGGTTTGATAGTTCACAGCTATTATGCTAAACTATAGGAGATGACATCATTTCCTTATTAAAAAACTACACATAAACCATTTTGACCCAAATTAAGATATTAGTTCGTCCTGTCGCACACACTTCCTAATCCACCTCTCCTCAACGCACACATACATTACATACAGTAATGTGATGGCAAAAAGGTTTACAGTGATGATGCTTATACATTTTATTTAGCAAGAATGATTCACATATAAAAACACACCTTTATGACTTCTAAAGCGTAAATGTAATCTCCAGAAGAAAGAAGTTAATGTTAGGTTAAAACAAATTTACATCACGGTCACATGACTTCACGTCACCACCGCTAAGCTAAAGGCGGCTAATGTTGGGGGTGATGACGTTTAGTAGTCTCATTCAGACACTTGTTAGCAACAGCCGTTTCTATGACGCATGGAAGCTGTTTGTGTTAACCACAGACCGTATTTCAAGTATCTTACCAACAAATCATAACATATTGACTTTAAGACGAGGTAATCAAAAGAGTTAAAAAAACGCAATAGTCACAATTCTCTGTGACCAATCAGTGGGCTAGAACCTTGGTTGAGGTGCTGCTAAAAGCAGAACCACTTAGCAGTTACTATACCAAACTTTTGCTAATGGAAAACCAAAAATGTGCGAATCACCCTCCTTACCATCTGTAGTGAGACTTCCCACACACACACACACACACACACACACACACACACACACACACACACACACACACACACACACACACACACACACACACACACACACACACACACACACACACACACACACACACACACACACACACACACACACACACACACACACACACACACACAGGGTGTTTCTCAATCGCGAGTACGCTTGCTTGGTAGCACATGTCTGCCGAGCATCTTGCTTCAGAAGCGAGTCAAGAATACTTCCTGGCATTCGGAAAACGAAGTGTGGAACACGCTAGCAAGTGTGCAGGTGTGCGTCATATGAGAGGCCCCGCCTTACATCTTCCACCACAGATTTGGGGAAATTGGTCCGTGCGCAAAGCATTGTGGGGATTTTAAGACCGCGAAGTCTACTCATGTGCAGACTCGATATTTCTCCAAACGGAGTACGCCGGGCTCGGTAGATTTCCAAGTATGCTGGAGATTGGAACAGTACTTCGGCGGCACTCGATGACGTAGTATGCTTGAAATAGTGGCTCTGCAGCAGCTTTACTCGACATTGAGAAACAAACAAACACACACACACACACACACACACACACACACACACACACACACACACACACACACACACACACACACACACACACACACACACACACACACACACACACACACACACACACACACACAGTTTCTCAATCTTGAGTAAAGCTGCTGCAGAGCCATTATTTCAAGCATACTACGTCATCGAGTGCCACCGAAGTACTGTTCCAATCTCCAGCATACTTGGAAATCTACCGAGCCCGGCGTACTCCGTTTGGAGAAATATCGAGGCTGCACATGAGTAGACTCCGCGGTCTTAAAATCCCCACAATGCTTTGCGCACGGACCAATTTCCAAAATCTGTGGCGGAAAATGTAAGGCGGGGCCTCTCATATGACGCACACCTGCACACTTGCTAGCATGTTCCACTCTTTGGGTGTTTCTCAATCGCGAGTACGCTTGCTTGGTAGCACATGTCTGCCGAGCATCTTGCTTCAGAAGCGAGGCAAGAATACTTCCTGGCATTCGGAAAACGAAGAGTGGAACAGGCTAGCAAGTGTGCAGGTGTGCGTCATATGAGAGGCCCCACCTTACATCTTCCGCCACAGCTTTGGGGAAATTGGGCCGTGCGCAAAGCATTGTGGGGATTTTAAGACCGCGAAGTCTACTCATGTGCAGCCTCGATATTTCTCCAAACGGAGTACGCCGGGCTCGGTAGATTTCCAAGTATGCTGGAGATTGGAACAGTACTTCGGCGGCACTCGATGACGTAGTATGCTTGAAATAGTGGCTCTGCAGCAGCTTTACTCGACATTGAGAAACACCCTTTGTTTTCCGAATGCCAGGAAGTATTCTTGACTCGCTTCTGAAGCAAGATGCTCGGCAGACATGTGCTACCAAGCAAGCGTACTCGCGATTGAGAAACACCCCTTGTCTCAGTACTGACACAACGTGCAGTGAGAGGAAGTGAACACTTGAGTTCACACACAAAGCTGATTGGTTACCAGTCATCTGAATTGGGAACATGATGAAACTGTGTGTATAAAGATGGCATCATGGGTACGACTAACTGGGAAATCAACAATAATAAAAACTGTGTGAGAGTGCTTCATGTTCTCAGTGTACTCCTTCCATTTTGTGATTGTATTACTTTATTTGCAAGACGAAATGCAAAACACATTGTAACAGGATACAGTTTTACATGTTGTTCGTTAGACTTCTCTACTACAGAAAACAGTGTGTCATCATTGTCAAAAGTACATCGGATAAATGAACTGCTTACCGTAATCAATTCTGTATGAGATGTACACGAGATTGTCATATATGATCATATAAAAGTTAAAATATGAATATCATCTCAAATGTGTTGGTGTCAGTTTTGTGCAGTTTCCATTTCCTGACCCTGCTCATTGTATTGATTGTTTTTGTGACATATGGAAAAGTACAGCTGGGGCGAGGTTATTCAACCACTTAATCAATTTGATAAAAGAAACCTGATTGAAGAATTGAAGAGGAAGAAGAATTGTATAAAGCATAAAAGTGAAGATCAGAAATGTAGTGATGACATCATAAATGATAGCCCTGCATGTGTCTGGCTGAACTGAATGATGGATCTCATACAGGTGCTGATATACAGTATTTAAGCATACGGATACCATATCCTAAAAAAAAAAAGTTAGCATTTGGCTAAGTTTAGTTACCATTTGACAAAAAAAAGTTGGCAATGGCTAACTTTTTATTTAAGAGTCCTCTGCAGAAGCACAGTGTGTGTTTCCTGAAAACCTTCACAAACATGTCAGAGCAACTCTCTGTGACCCGCTAATCCTGAAAGATTTGAATCAGTCTGCGTATGAAAAGAGAGTTCATAATCTTCAAATGCTGTTCTTCGAATCAGACAGACAGAAAGATGGAGAATAATATGATATTTTTGTTATCATATTAGCGGAAATTACTATATTTTCAAAGGAAAAGGACATTTTTTACTGACTTGATCAGGCCACTTCTCAAAGACAAAATATAAAAACATCCTTTGACTGGACCCTCATTGACTTTGTGATTTGGTTATCATAGTGATCAGAGTCAGAAAACAAACAGGATTTTTGAACATTTTTTGAGTGCTGCAGATTGATGAGGGCTGGAAGCTTGTATCTGGCAGAGAGTGATCTCCAGATTGCAGCACAGATCGGTGGGCTGGCTGGGGGGGAGGTGAGAGAAGCGTAGGAGGCTGCACACACAGAAACTTACCCAGCATGAAGTATAGGCTAAGTGGCCATTAGAATATAGCATATTATTTTGGTGGTCCTCACATCACCGGTTGGTGCTCACTAGTACAGGAAAACTAACATACACACACAGGCAGATAAGAAACACAAAATGTGATACATGATACATTAAATATCCACTGAATGTGTGTGAATGTACAATGTGTTCTCCGTTGTTCTCTGACTCATTCCATATAACGACTAAAGCAGAAATGTGTTAGTAATTCTCTAAACAGTGTCTGCACCACCTGCATCCATCAATCTCTCCTCTGAGAACACTGTGTCCACACACAGACAGGAAGTACATGGAAACTGTTGGAAAAGCGCTCTATAAAAAGTGAGAAATGATTCCAAAGGTGTGTTCTCCTCTCATCCTGTGTGATCATAATCATCATTTTAAAGTCACAATAAATTCCAGCCCAGAATATTCAAACTGCACTTTTATTTCAACAGAATATAAAAACATTGGTGAATACAAGCTCTTTGAATAACATGACGCATGATCTCAAAGATGAATAAAATAGAATAGAATTATTTGAATACAAAAGCTCTAACACTACTTGTATATTTCCATAATAAATAGCTCTATCTGAGAGCCGGCATTAAGAATGTTTGCATAATAAGTGTTCTCACACTGTTCTTCTGTATGTTTGTCACACTCAGATTCAAGTCAATTCAAGTTGCATAAAGTGTTCAAATACACAAAAGGCTTTTAAGCGAGACATGCATAGATGCGGGGGGGATAAGCAGCAGTACAATAGAATATAATGCAGCATTAAACCTTCTATTAAACTTGCTAATATAACCGTTTATAGTACAAAGCTACATATAAAATACAAATGTAATATGGCACGGCTGATTAACTTAAAGCTTCAAGGCCATGGTAACTTAATATTTAATAATATGTGGTGCTGGATGTGGCATATTTACATATTCTTTACCCCGTGAAGATGATTTTTTAGAATGATGGCCCCCTTCTCACAGACACCATCTTACAGTGTGGGCCTGAACAGCAGACTAAGAAAAAATGCTTTTCAGCTACGTGCAAATGTAAGAACTCTTTGAAATACCATGTGAAAATTGTATTGATTGTTTTTGTGACATATGGAAAAGTACAGCTGGGGCGAGGTTATTCAACCACTTAATCAATTTGATAAAAGAAACCTGATTGAAGAATTGAAGAGGAAGAAGAATTGTATAAAGCATAAAAGTGAAGATCAGAAATGTAGTGATGACATCATAAATGATAGCCCTGCATGTGTCTGGCTGAACTGAATGATGGATCTCATACAGGTGCAGAAAACTATGACCAATACCAAACTTGGGGAAAAAAAGGTAAAAGATATCTGTACTGCTGTACTTGTACTAATAACTGTAATCATTTCTTTGTAATGTACCCACAACATTAATGTAAGTTAAAGATGAGCCTGTAGTCTACCCTGAGCTAGCAGGTAGATATATAAAGTAACCATAGGATTAACAGGAAAGTAATAAGAATGATGTCACCTGTTACCCTCTGCAAACATCTGTTAACGTGATGCTGAAATTCACTTTTTACTGTGTGATGAGAACAAATATTTTGTACTGATATATAAATATTCCTTGTTCTCTTCTTGGTGGCTAACATGAACTGACCGAGGTCATGACTCAAGTCTTCTTCAGGACTGTCAAATGTAAAACATCCGAACAGAATAATTCAGAGGTGAGAAAGCATCTGTAATCATTTCAATTGATAAAATGCAAGTTTCTGACAGGGATAGCTCTAGTATGAGCATGTCTGTTACATAACCTACAGCTGGATTTCAAGGATATCCAATAAAAGGGAAACTTATTTCCCGGATAATGTGATCACAGCATAAACCAGTATTTGTGTGTGATGAGTTCAGGGACCTCTCTGTTTTGAGTGTTTTGGTGGAGCAGAAGGAAATCAAGGATTAACATGAGGGTAGAAGATGATGCGTTTCCTCGTCCACGATTCCAGATATAATGTAAAAACAACAACAGAGACTTAAGAAGAATAGATACACCCGATTTGGTCACTGTTGCCACGGCAGCATGATAATTCAATAACACCCACAAGCCCGGACAAAACAGGGAAGGTGTGTGTGGAGGTGGTGGGTGTATTCTTAGAGCTGTGTGTGGAGAATAAAGAGAGGAGAAAAACAGTTATAAGTTATTTCATGTCTGCACATAAAAAGATGATTGCCAAGCTTTATAGTTCTGCTGGCACCCGGAGCACAGCCAGAGAATGTCAGGCAGGTTGTTTTCACCGTGAGTAAAAGACAGATCACCATGTTCGAGCCAAAGGAGCAGCTTCAGAAAATAAGAAAAAGTACTGCTCTCAGGAGTTTCTGGTACAAGAAGCTTAAAATAAATACCAAAGAAGAAGAGCTACGACCCTACTGACATGAAAGTAGACCTAAAGCATATAGATCAGGGACACCTCATTTTCCCTGCATGTATGTGAGCAGATAGGCGGTCATGACATCATAGCTGACAGGATTAAAACAGAGATAACTAATATTTGGCTAAACACAAAAGATGCCATACTATCATTATGTGTACAACTGAGACTGAACTTTTCTGATTGTGCCATTTGTATGTGTCCATTCATGTGGACTGCGCTGCCTTCGTAAAGCCGGACAGATTCTCTGTGGCGTCACCCACAGGTGTCTGAAGAGCTGTTGTGAAGCTCAAGATTTCCTCTGGTTGTCACTCGTGTTGCAGTGACGCCGCCCTCTGACTCTCGACTCATCTAAAAAACAGCATTGTGGATAATATTGAGGCGTACCTAGGTAGCATAGCAGAGCGGTAGCTAGCAGCTAGCAAACTGGGACCGCTCTTACCTGTCACTCAAAGTGGCCACGCCCCTAAGTGTAAGCCTTAATATAATTTAAAGGCATGAGTTGTATGAAACTGTTCCTACCATACAGTTGTGATGAATATGAAAATAACTGTAAAACATTTTTTTGGTACGTGGCTGTAAACGTGTATTTCTGCAGTACAGTCTGCCTTTCAACACGGGGGTGGAGTGGTCATCATGGAGCTGCAGTTTCTGGCACTTCTGTATACGTTTACTGCTCAGCACTGGAGTTCGCAGATTGTGCTGCCAGGCTGTAAAAACTGATAATACAGTGTGAAAAATGCTAACAAATCACACATGTGCTGAGTCCTTAGCTCTCAGTATGAACACACAGGGACAGTACTGGTGGACGTTGTTATAATAGGAACACACAATGTTCTAAAAACATGTCAAATAACCATTCAAAATAAAAGGTTGCACTTTGTAGTTCCTTGCAAAATAGTTATCGTGCACTGCTACATATCATTAGCATAGCATTAGCCGAAGCTTAGCATGTCTATTTCTGTTGCTGCAGTCTTTAGTTTGGATCTTCAAAAAATATCAATTGTTTTAACAACCATAATAGTTTCTTGCTCACAATGAGCTCTCTGGGGCGTTCTGTGTTCAAAGGCCTCACCGACCTGTGGCCCTTTGCCGATGTACCCCCCGCATTTCCTGGCTCTCAGCAGGTCTTCTAACCATTAAGTCAAAAAGCCCAAAAAACTAATCTTATAAAATTGTAAATTTGGCATGTAGTCAACAAGAAAATGGTGTAAACAATTGCTGGATATACCAAAACTCAAAGCAGTCTTTGTGTCATGATGATGGGTTATATTGTTAATATTAAAGCTAAGTTATTTAAAGTTGACATGAACATAATTTCTACACCATTATCTAAGAGCTTTTGACCACGTAGTCCATAATGTGTAAAGCATCAGGAAAATGATGTTATGTTAAGCTATGAATATAACTTTCTTAAATGAGAATATGATTTGTTGCAAAGCCTTTAGATTGCCCTTGAGATGTTCTAGTCCTCTTTGTTTCTCTGTAATCCAGGGAGAGGGTCAACGTCACCTAATAAACCACGGTCCGTTATAGTGAGTTATGGGGGCTTCTCCTACGTGGGGGGTGGTCCGTTGTAGCGCAGCATGACATTGAAGGAGCGGGCGAAGTTGTTGGTCAGGGAGCAGCTGCTGCCTTCGTCCATGAGGGGCAGCAGGAAGGCCAGCAGCAGCAGAGCCAGCAGCAGGAGCCAGAGGGGGAGGGCCAGCCGGCAGACCCTCTGCCACAGCCCCGCCCTCTGAAACAAACACACACACACACACACACACACACAATTTAGCAAGAGTATGTTGTAAATGCCCTGTAGAAACAGATCACTATAGGCGCTTTCACACCGGAGTACTTTTCCCTTTTAGTTCCGATAGTTCCTGGGATTTTGCGTTCACACCAAAAAGAGAACTTAGTTCATGAGAACTTTTCCCCCCTTTTCAGTCCCTGCTAGAGAGCAGGTACTTTCCTGGGGAGAAAAAAAGTTCCAATTTCTGATTGGCTGGGCGAATTGCAAACCACGCCCCGTAAAACTCTGAAAAGTTTTGTGAAGCCGCCATTGTATTTGCTGGCATTAGCATTATTAGCATTAGCATTAGCCCCACGCACCAACGGAGAGAGACTCATTTATGGCAGCACAACAAAAAAAACATGGGAGAGGTGGAGATGAGGAGGTGTCGGCGTTCTGGCGATTTACTCGGAAGGCTTCAGTAGAAGCTGCTGGGAGTCCCAGCAGCTTCTACTGAAGCCAGTCCCCAACTCCGGGGACTTCCGGCCGGGGACTCCGGGTGGCAGTATACGCCGTGAAGTGGTTTGCGGCCTGCCAGTAAACCCAAAGCAGAAGAGGAAGAAGTGACGTCAGCGGCTCATTTGCGTAATCTTCCCTCAGGAACTTATTCCGGTGTGAAAGCGATCTGTACTTAGTTCCATGGGGGTACTAAGAGCTGGGAATTAAGTACGGCAAAGTACTTGGTGTGAAAGCGGCTTATGTGTTTTTTAAATCTCTATCCTATAGAGTGGTGCAGTAAGTCCTAAAACACAGAAATGAGTTAGCATTTTAGCATTTCCTGTTAGCTTGTCTTGAAGTCAACAGGTTTTCTTATTGTGCTTTTGGTTCGAGGCCGGAAATAGGATTTTCTTATTCTACATGCATAAAATAGACAGTAAATACCCCACTAGTGAATGTCTGAAGCTTCTTTGTGTCATAAAATCTATATCTATCTATTTATCTATCTATCTTTCTGTCTATCTGTCTATCTATCTAAAAACAGCGGTTGCTAACAAGTGTCTAAATGAGATGACTAAACGTCATCACATCCAACATTAGCCGCCTTAAGCTTAGCGGTGGTGAAGTAAAATCATGTGCCCTTGATTTGTTCCTTTATAGGCTGACTTTAGATTTTTACACCTGTTGATTGCATTCACGCTTCAAAAATCATAACACCCCCCCCACGCACACACACACCTGAAACGGCTCCATTGGACTCCTTTGTTTACTTCCATAACATAGTGACATCAGTATGGAACACTAACTCTTCTATTGGCTAGCGGTCTAGAGCAGGGGTTTTCAAAGTGTGGGAAGGTGAGCCTCCCCTCAGAGAACATAAGAACAGCCGCGCCCCCCCTCCCAATTATTATTGCTATTATTATTATTGTTGTTGTTGCTATAATGCAGGGGTATTCAATTGCATTTCAAAGAGGTCCAGCAAGAGAAAATGTCATTACAAGTCTTTGTTTTCGCCGTCTACCTTTCTCTTTTTTGAGCACGCCATTTGAAATGACTCACTCCTGTTTCTCTCCTCTCGTCTCTCTGTGTGTTTGAATCTATCGTGCTGACTCACTGACTGCACCCATTTGATTGGCTGAGTAGCATCACCTCCTTAAAACATTAAACAATAACTTTTTTAAACCTTTTTATCTTTATGTTTTACATTTTTTTTTTTTTACATTTTCATCATCGTGGATAAATCCTTATATGCTCCCGGCAACACACTGAACGTCAACTTTGCCTCCTTATTACACTCACCCCTACTTTAGTGGGAACAATGAGTCTGCGTCTTTGATGCACACAGGAATAAACGCAGATCATCCTCTGGCTGCAGCCTTGACCGGTACTTGCTTTTGATCAAAGTCAATGCGGAAAACCCCCACTCACACAGGTAGGTGGAGGCAGGGGCGGACTGGGACTATCAGCCCTGGAATCTCACCCAGCCCAGACCACACAAATTGGTAGAGCACGCTAGTGAACTGTCAACGGGGGGAGACTCGCTGCGTGGAAACGGCCCGCTGAACGGACCTCTGTCGCCTGTCAGCGCAACTTAAATGATGCCGTTTAAAAAACATACAAAATAAAGGGCAGTGCCGGCCGTCAGCGAAACGAGCCGGCCGTCAACGGCCCACTGACGACCGGCCGTTCTGTGATTCTCCAGAACACACAGATGGCCAGTCCGCCCCTGGGTGGAGGTGAAGGGAATGAGCACTTGTACAGCCTTTTTGGCGAGCTGGGGGACGCGGTCTCCACAGACAGCCAAAAGTGTGCAAGTGACACTTTACTCGTCTTTTTCTCGTTATTTCTTTCTCACGCTGCGCCTCCCCTGAAGCTCTCTGGCGCCCCCCAGGGGAGGCACGCCTCACACTTTGAAAACCGCTGGTCTAGGACATTGTACGTGATAGGCTAAGATTCGGGACATCTCCAAGCAGTTGACCAATCACAACACAGCCGGCCAGCTAACCAATCAGAGCAGACTGGGCTCTGGTTTCAGACAGAGGGTGAAAAGAGGTGAGCTTTTTGAACATTAAAAGACACTACATACTGATAGGAACCTGGAAGTAGGAAGAATATGTTGTCTTTCAACATACACTTAGTAAGTATTTATATTCTAAGTAATGAAAAAAGCAAACAGACCAAACTGACACATGTTTTAATCCCTCAGCCCATATTGTTTTATTTTTTAAATATGTGAAACTGCAGGTATGAATGTCATTAATTACCATAATGACTTTATTTACCATAATGGCCTCCATTTAAAACACTATTATTATTATCAAAAATGAACCATTTGGCCATCAGCAAACATTCTTCACATCCTGCTGCTTGTTAGGTTTGATAAGGATGACGTACTGCAGTGTGTGCTGCTTTATGACAGGAGATAAAGTGAACTCTCAGCACTGTGATTAATAACTTTGGCATTGCGTTGTATTTACATCATGTACATCTCTGGTCTGCTGGCTTCTACTAATGACTTGGCTTCTGTTTCTCTGCGTCTTATGAATGAAACTACAAAGTCACTTTCTCAAAACTGAACTTTTTCTTTCTGCTGGCCTTAAACACTGTCTGGACTGCTTTTTTTTTACATTTCTGCTGCAAATTCTTCAGAATTATGATGGTTCATAAGCTCGGAAACTCTGGGAAATATGACATTCTGAAACCAACACACTGGCAGATGCACACTGAGAAAGCACGTAAGGAAATGTGGAGAATCAGAAGCAGCAGTGAGGAACATGATGAACACAGCTGCTTCTCTCACTTGTTATTCTGTGAATCATGTTCCCTGCCTACGCTCATCCTTCACCTTCTCTCTGCGTCACTGAGAGCCTGCAGGCCCAGCGTTCAACATGAAGACAGCGGAGACAGATCTCTCATCTGTTAGAGTGTTCGATTGTTGTGTGAACATCATTTGTTATATAAAGTAACTACTGTAATAAGACATAGGAAGTAAACTGTGCTTTGTGGCATTTTCAATTATATGAATTGTAGGTGTGCTTCCTGTACGCTCGAAGAGCTCCTCCCACTACTCCCACATGTACCATTATTAGACGATAATAATAAGTACAAGTGAAGTTCCATATATATATCTTCCAAGGGAGAAGCTTGCTTTGTGTAATTTTAAAAATGCAATTAACATTAGCTAGCTTTTTTACGTCTTGGCCGTGTAAGTGAATTTGACTACTCGTTAGTTTAGTCATTCATAAAGAGGACATATTACGTTTATTTTCATATGTTGTATCTCTACTGGGACATGTCTCCATGCTTTATTTTTCTCATACTGCCCGTGCTGCAGCACCTCTTTTCACCCCTTAGCCTATCAACTACAGTGTGCGAGTGTGAGTGTTACATGGTGATGTCATAAGGTTCTGGAAGGCGGGGGGAAACTGTCGTGTAGAACACACTACAGGAGAGGGAAAACTAAAAAAGCATAATCGGCCTCTTTAAGTTATTGAATCATAACAGTTGCACATGGTACGTTACAGCAGTCCATAGCAACAAAGGCTTAAGAATATTGCACTCTGAAACTGTTGGTACTAAATAACCAAAACACTGATTACAACATAATGTGGCTTTAAGGTCAAACCCTTTAGCTCATTTGAGCTAAACAACGCCTCTCGCAGACAGGAGCAAGCTGGTTGCTAGAGAAAGAAACATGAACACAAACCTAACACTGTGAACACACACTCAGAGGGACAATGGAGGGGAGAGAGACGTGTGTTTGTGTAAAGGCTAATGATTGATGGAAGAGGAAGCGAAACTAGCTAATCATACCTGCACATGACTGACACACACCAAAGGTATGTTGTTCTTGGAGTCAGAACACCCAATACCTCACTTCACTGAGAAGTGCTCAACATCTCCTGCAGGTCTATCACAGTCAAAGTCAAGCAGGACTTTTTACACTGTGCATTCAGTTAGCCAATTCATTTATCATGTGTCCCGAGTTCTGCTAGAACCTGCTCAGGGTCGTGTCAGCGGTGACTTCCTTTGGTGGAAAAATGGCTGAAGAATAGCTTAAAGTTATATTCATTTTGTAAGCATAATGTAGAACTAGTGTGCTTGTCAAAATGATAGCATTAGCATCGATTTCAGGGGTTTCCTGGACTGTTAAAGGTGACAGGAGTACGTGTGTACAGCAAGCAGCCTCTTTATAAAGTTTTTATTGTCTTTGATTTATTTATTTGTGGTGAGATGCCTTCAAAAGCTCTTTTTTTTGCTATTATAGAAAAATGTCTCTGGCAGGGTTAGTTAGTTGACAGGTTTGGTCTCGACTGATAACTCTTGACAACACTTTATGGATCACCATTTGAATCCACTCAGAACTTCCCCTCAGGATGAATGGTCATCACTTTGGTCATCAGGTCAACATTTCAACTGCCCAACACCTACAGCTCAGGTTTCATTGGTCTTTGTTATGTTAACTACAATGCCAACATGCTTATGTCAAATGGTGAAGATGGTAAACATTATGGCTACTAAACCTGTGCATGTTAGCATTGTGAGCATGTTAGCATCCTGATTAGAATCTTAACTCTGAGTCCAGGCTCAAAGAGCTGAGCACGGCTGTTCACATTAACGTATCTTACTGTTTTCTGACTTCAACAAACTCTAAATGTTTTAATAAGTCCCTTTGTCCATGAAGTGTGTTTTTCTTTATTGCTTGCCGGGTGATGGGCAGAGCTTCGACCCGGCGTTTTTAAAAATGTTATATGAAAATGAGACATTGACAGGAAATCCACACTGTTTTATGACTCATTAACATCGCCTACTTGCCTTTTATTATGTATTTTTGCTATATATTTATATATTTGTTTGACAATGTTTTTCAGGAGGACGATCCGCGTACCAAGATACAAATAAACACCAGCAGCAGCAGTAGGTCAATGATGCTTGATACTTGAATATGCTTCAAATAGGGTTTCACTTATTCTGTTACAAACAGTGTTGGCAGCTCATTCTTTAAAACAGAAGCCTCAAATTGATTATAATGAGGGGAAATATGAAGGGTATATTTCAAGATTACTATGTAAATAAGTTATTGGGCTCAATAACTCTATCAACTAAGATTTGTTAGAAAATGTTCTCAACTTTAAATGGCTGAATGTATTTGAAAAGTGGGTTTATTAACAAATGAATACTACTGTGTAATATATATTTTAGATATATTTTAAAGAAGTACAATATACTGTAAGACAAGCACATGTTTCATGTGCGGGCCATATTCCATAATTCTTTTAGAATTGGCTGAGGGCCATTTCAAAATGGACAACGGGCCACAGTAGGCCCCCGGGCCGTAGTATGGACACCCCTGCTCTTAGGATTCAGTATAGATCTGTATTCTGATCTGGTGGAAACCCAGACTGAGAGGACTGGCAGATGTCTGTTAAAGGGCTGATAAACTCACTCCTGACTGCAGGCCTATCAGAGGTCTGACAGCTTAAAGACAGGAAGTCCAAAAGAAGGTATCAAAGCAGACAGGATGTGAACGCTGAGCTGACATGCTCACAAAGCTGCTGGCAGTCTTTAAGAAGAAACACAATGTCTGGATTCAAAGAGTCCCGCACATCCATTCATCCGGTGAAGTCATGAGTAGCTGCTGAACGCTGTTTCTCTTCCATGGGACCAGAACAGTAAAGGTAGAGCAGCGACTCACAAACCACTTGGTCATAAAACAATACTACCCCCCCCCCCCCCCCCCCCCACTGAAGAAAGAGGCTGATAAAGAAGGAGTAACAAGCGTGTGAAAAGATAGAGGAATGTTTGGAGGGCTCTTTTAGCTAAGGGGTCAATAGAAGGGCCAGAGTGAGGGGGGGCTTTAATCTGCTCACCAGCCTCTGCTTACTAAATGAATGGTGGAGTGGGGGGGGGGGCTTTGGTATGCTTGACTTGGTGCCAGTGCTGGGTGGTCACGTCAGGTCTGTGGCTCTCGACAGAATATTAGGGCAGGATGGTTCAGGTGTTAAAGAAGGACCGGAACTTTCTGAATGTGTGCGGATCACTAATCCTGCATTAAAAGAAAGTTGTTCACTCAGGATCCTGTAACACTGGTGGAGGTCTTCGGTCTTTAGGTCAATAGAATGGTGCACGGATGATGTGATGCTAACTTCCGGGTTGGCCTCCAAACATACAAGGGCTCGACAAAAAGCAAAGGGGCTTTTCCATTGCTGTTGGGAAAATTGCAGAAAATAGGATATCGTTTATCAGGCAAAACCTCATTCATTTCTGAGCTTTGGTCCCGTCACACATCGTTTGAAATGTAACACCACAGTTAAAGTGCAGCACTTTGTGATTGCAGTGCATCAGAGCCGACTCTCCTCTCTGATCACATGCTCCATGGTGGAGCATTATGCCACAATGGAGCTGCCCCAGTATGTTGATTTAAATATATATATATTTATGTTACCTTTTGCACCTTTGCTGCGACGGCCGGCTCCTCTTGTTGGGCTTGGACTCTCTGCAGAGATACAAAATATTGTAATGAATTAAAATGCTAGAATTACATACTCTAACCGCTAATCATAAATCTAAACCATACTGTCTAACTGACAACTGACATTCTCATGATGCTAAGCCCAGGGTTTTTTTCTGAAACATATATAGAAGTTGGGGATAGATTTATATTATTTGGTTGAACAGAAGTGTGACAGGGAAACTAAATGATGTTACACTGTCATCTTGTGGTGAAACACCAGCAGTGCATTGAAAGGGGAAAAAACATTTCCCTTAAAACAAGTGCGCAGCTCTCTCCTGGTAAAGTCAATTCAACAATACAATGTCTTCAATCAATCAAATAAATAATATAATGTGTTCATTTATATAATCCAGCCCGATCATCCAAAGAAGGGTATGATATCTTTTTTAACAATCTACAATCTTCAATTTCTTCATTTTTAAACATTTGACCGCTTACTTACTGCTTGCAATAAATATCCACTGCGGGTAAATAAAATGCTCTCTTGGCATTACATGTTTTAGAAATTGTCATATTCAACTATACCTGATTATCTCTAAGTCTTGGTTTACAAACTTTGTTTGGTTCAGATCCTCAAAAAATCCCGACATTTTCATTTGAATATATATTTTTTTAAATGGGCACAGCCTGTAATTATTCTAATTGAAGTTGTTGCATTCATACACAGAGAGCCTGGAGAGCCCTTCAGTGCGATGCAGTGCAGGCAGTGTTCACCTTGGCTCTGGTCCTGAGCTCCCCCACATCCTTCACTTTGGACTTGTAGAGCATCCAGCGGTAGCGCAGCTCCTCCAGACCCACATCCTCAGCTGGTCCAGGACCAGCCGCAGCACTCTGACTCTCCTGCAGCAGCAGCTGGAAGTGCTCCTGACCCCAGGACAGTTCTGCTCTCAGAGCCTGCAGAGGACACACAGAGTGTTAGCCACGCTACACCAGGAAACATCTGAACTCAAGGCAACACATCTTTACAACAAGGGTAAATGTGAAAGTGCTTTCAGCTCCATGTGAGGCTACTGCTTATATATGAACACGTGGTACATCCAGCAACAGGGTACACCTGGTTAACTGATGGTAGGTGCGTTAAATACCCAGTGGTGGAAAGATTTACTCAAGTGCTGTAATTAAGTACAATTTCCAGGTACTGTACTTGAGTATTTGAATTCTTTGCTACTTTGTACTTCTACCCCTCTACAATTCAGAGGTACATGGTGTACTTTTCCTCCACAACATGTATTTAATCCCTTTAGTTACTTCACAGATGTGGATGAATGATGTGAAATCTAATCAAGTGTTAAATCAGACTTTAGTTCCACCTGGAGTAAATTCACAAGCTACCCTGCAGTATACAAAGTCATTCAAACTAGCTGCACCTTTACCAGCTTTGAGAACACTTTCATGATCAATCATTATAAAACATATCATATATTATTCTGAAATGGACCAATCTGCACAATTACTACTTTTACTGTCGCTACTTTAACTATATTTTGATGATAATACTTTTATACTTTTACTTGAGGAACATTTACCTCATTTCACCTGAATTATAGTGGGTTAGAAATAAAAAGTAGCAAAACATTTAAATACTCAAGTAAAGTAAAAGTACCTCAAAATTGTACTTAGTTACTTTACACATTAATAACGTTTATTAAAGTAACAACCAGCAGCATTTATACATTTAGACATTATCAACATGTATAAAGTCAAGCTTTAGTATAATAAGAGCCTCACTCTGAGCGTGTCCTGTCTGGTCTTCAGCTCCTTGGTGCCGAGTGCTGCTGCCTTGCTGCTGGAGACCCCTGAGAGGAGAGCATTCTGATTGGACAGCCAGGCCTCAAACTCCCTGCTTCTGGACTGGTACTGCCCTCCGCCTCCCTATGAACCCAAACACACCTCATGAAACTCTTGCACCGAGCCCCCATCAACAGGTAGGCGTTATTCTGTGCCTGATTGTGTTTGGAGTGGCAGGACTGTTAACAAATCCATCATGGGGGATTGTCTCAGCAATGACCTGTCCCCACGTTTCTAGGCTTCTTTGTTTTCCCTCCCATATGTCATTTCATTTTCAATTCTTCTGCTAGATAAATGCAATATGATACAAGTGATAACAGCCATTCAGAGCGTATTCCTACACGTATTCTGGACACTAGGGCTGTGCGATTATGGCAAAAATCCTAATCACGATTATTTTGGTCAATAATTGATATCACGATTATTAAAAACGATTATCCATTTACTTTGAAAACATCCATTTATTGAAACAAAAATGTGAACAGTATGTTTTTAACAGTTGATTACCCTGAACTTTAAGTATAATTCAACTGAAAAAAAAAAAAAAAAAAAAAAAAAAATTACATTTTTTTTATTTTTTATAAAAATAATAATCGTTTTATTTCGATTACGTTGTTTTCGTAATCGTTGCAAGCCAAAATCGTAATCGAGATTAAAATACGATTAATTGCACAGCCCTACTGGACACACTCGTCTCCTCCGCAGTGCTTTACTGGAAAGTGGCAGACATTTAGATTTAGACTTGGATGTGTCTTGAGAGTAGTCCTTGTGATCAAAACGTGCATTGTTTTAATACATTAGTGGAGGTGATTAATGTATTTGGGAAATGGCTTTTTTTTTTCTTTCTAAATCTAATCTTCGGGGGAATTGATTCCCTGCACCATCGAGACAAAGCAAGTGAGGAGCCATTCTGCAAAGATACAGTAATACATACAAAACTGCAGCAAACAGCTGCATCACTGAAATGAATAGTAAGCTTTGGATTCCTTCCCTCCTCTTGACTGATTCTACATCGTTTAGATTGCCGTTTAAAGTCTTGTTTGCTTGTGATGCCTAACTGTCCAAATGATCACGTATCTGTCTGCTTGAAAACTGGATGGATTAGCTGCAGTCAGAGGAGGCAGAGCTTCACCAATGATTTGTTATAGACACAATCAACTCAATTGCAGAGCTCTGCTACATGAACAGATGTAGGAGAGGTGAGGCAGCACCCCCCACCCCCCTCTGCTGGATACTTAATGCAGCACGGGCAATAAGTCACTATCCGGTATTGTCACAAACTTCTTCAATACATGTCTTTATTGACAACAACTTTAACTGACCTTGAAGCAGGCCGCTGTGTCTGTAAATGCTTTGGCTAAACTTGGTGTATGACTGTGTTGTGATTGTGTGTTTTTTAATTGTCTGTAACTGTAAAACTGTGCTGTTACCATTCTTGGGCCAGGACTCTCTTGAAAAAGAGATTTTTAATCTCAATGAGACCTATCCTGGTTAAATAAAGGTCAAATAAAAAATAAAAATTCAATACATGTCTTCCATAGTCCAGGTAACTTATTGTATACAAGTGTCTGTCTCACTGAGGGGGCGTGTCTTTAGTACAAGTCATTGATGCTTGAACTCCGTCCAGGTCAGCTAGCTCTATAACTTCCTTTTTTTCTCTCTTTAAGATCCTTTTTGGGCCAGATCTCCCCCACTGGAGATAGGGTGGTGGAAGGGGGAGATATAGGAGATATAGTGGTGAAAGGGGCAGATATAGGAGATATAGTGGTGAAAGGGGAGATATAGGAGATATAGTGGTGAAAGGGGAGATATAGGAGATATAGTGGTGAAAGGGGGAGATATAGGAGATATAGTGGTGAAAGGGGGAGATATAGGAGATATAGTGGTGAAAGGGGCAGATATAGGAGATATAGTGGTGAAAGGGGGAGATATAGGAGATATAGTGGTGAAAGGGGGAGATATAGGAGATATAGTGGTGAAAGGGGGAGATATAGGAGATATAGTGGTGAAAGGGCATGATAATAGGAGATATAGTGGTGAAAGGGGAGATATAGGAGATATAGTGGTGAAAGGGGCAGATATAGGAGATATAGTGGTGAAAGGGGGAGATATAGGAGATATAGTGGTGAAAGGGGCAGATATAGGAGATATAGTGGTGAAGGGGGAGATATAGGAGATATAGTGGTGAAAGGGGGAGATATAGGAGATATAGTGGTGAAAGGGGGAGATATAGGAGATATAGTGGTGAAAGGGGGAGATATAGGAGATATAGTGGTGAAAGGGGGAGATATAGGAGATATAGTGGTGAAAGGGGGAGATATAGGAGATGTCATATTGGCAGAAATGTCCCGCGGGCTCAGGAGTAGCAGCGGACCCTTCATATGGGCCAGCAGCTCTAACCACTGAACTATCTGGCTGCACCTGTAAAACATTTTTGACCTGGAAGATTTCTCAAAATGGATTTTTTATCAAAACAGGAAGTGATGAACAATGGAAGGCCTGAGCTGAAGGATCTACTTCAAATGAAGGATTATAAAATAACACGTTGTTTCATATTGAGTGGTAAAAAAGCTGACATGGAACATGCAACGTACCGTGGCCTAACCCATACACTAGTCTTGATGTTAGCTCCCAATGAATGTTGAAGCTAGCTTGATGGGGGTTTCCACTAGCCAGTGCCCCCCCATCCATTCACCTGCCTCTCAGTTTGAGCAGTGTCCTGGTCTAAGTGTCTCTTGGCTTCTGTTGTAAACTAGTGAACTTTCCAAGCTGTGTTTAAATAAAGGCAAAAGAGTGGCTTCACCATGGCTGACCTTTATGGTTAAAGCTGCCCCCCCTCTGTCTGCGGCCCCTGCTGATCCCTCACTGCCGGTGCTTCCATCAGGGGGGGGGTCTGTGGAGCCTTTCGGTCCTGCTCTGCTGTAAATGCTCCAGGCAGAAGAGTCCACGGTGTCCCCCAGGTCTCCTCTGTCCTCTCCTGTCCTGGGTGAGTTGAGAAGTGTGTTGTCTTGTGCAGTCAGGATGAGATGACCTTCACCGTGATGGCTCTGGATCAGCCCCCCCTCCACTGCTCCCCCCCGCCCTCCTGTCTCTCCCTCCAGGTTTACTCCTCTTCCAGACCCAAAGCTAGCCATGGCTCCCCCCCCCACTCCGAGCGGTGATGTGAGGGAGGGGTCTGCAGACGGACCTCCAACACTCCAAGAGGCAGAGTCTGTCTGTTGTCTGGAGCTGTTCAGCAACCTGGGGTGGGGGGGGGGGGGGGAAGAGATGTTATTTCATGACTGAGGGAGGTTCTTATTGCAGCATCAACTGGAAACTCAAATGGAGATGCTGGATCACTGGACCTGATTTGAACACCGAGGGGTTCACAAGGGAACACATCAAGTCTTTAACTGTACATTCAACATGTCCTGTCCCAATTCTTCCAGATAACAGGAACAGGTGATATTGAAGACACAAGAATATGAAACGCCTGGTGAAAATGTCAAATGTGTGAACTTTATGTGGTTTGTTTTGTGTTCTTTGTAATGCGTTTACAATTTAAAAGTAAAGAATAAAAAGAATGTCAAATGCCTAAAATTATTCTAAAGTTGTCCTTTTTTTAAATAATAATAATAATAATAAATGTAAGATATTTATTTCATAATGCTCTTTTACAGGTGCTCAAAAACACTGCAGAGACAAAAGATAAATTCATTTGAATCGAGCTAGAACAATTAACACAAGGTCAATTATCGCACATTAAAAGTCAGTCTAAAAATGTGAGTTTTACTGTTTAATGTGAGCCTAACTAAGCCTCGCCGCTTTATTTAGTGAGAGTTTTAGTCGGTACAGACCTGTTGAGCTTATTAATATCATGCTGAATCAATGAATTAAGATTCATATTTAATAATGCATTTCATTGGTGAGGTGTTGAACGTGCGTGTATTGTAACTAATGCCATATTTTGCAAAACAAAACAAAAAGATATTCTAGTATGTAAGTGTCTGCTAATCAGCGCACTAACACCCTATGTTCCAGGTACCTGTGTAGATTGAGGCTCATGTTGTACAGGGCCAGCCAGGACTCCCATTGGCGCTTGGTGTCCCGCAGGATGTGGACCCGCCCCTCCTCTGACGTCCTCTCCAGGACCCCCTGACCCTGGACCTCCATTTGCTGCAGCTGGAGCTCCTTCTCCGGGAACTCTCCCAGCGCTCTCTGTGACACATGAAGGACTTTAGTAAACACGTTGTTTTATCAGGTTTAAAACAGTACAAACAAGTCTTGGTAATTTAGGGTAATTAGGGTCCCATCCCTTCCTGAGTTTGTAGGTTTTTATAAACTTGTCTTATCTCTTTCCTCTATGCTCTCCTTGCCTGTATAATGTTCCTCTCCTTGCTTCCTTAACTCTTCTATCCCTATGTCCAATCCTATCCATCCATTGTAGTAAACAAACACTTTAATGAAGGTATTTCCTCAAATCTAGCACATATTTCACAATAAAAACCTTGTTAGAAAATAAAGGGATTATGTCCACTGACATGGCCGACTACATCTCAGTGTTGAAGGGTTGATTTTGATTCCTGTGGGAGTTCAGGCCTTCCTTTAGCTAAGGCTTTAGCGACACTCTATGATTGACTTTCTGTGGGTGTCATGTCCAGCTTTTCTTGGGCACATCTGTATTCCTCCACTACTCAGATAAGCAGTGACAGGGCTGCCATCCCATGCCGCTTTCTTTTTATTTCCCTTAGCCGGGGGCTTCAGAAAGTGACCACGTAGATGGTAATTGGCCACTTGAGACAGGGCAACAGACCAATTTGAAAGCAGGGGAGCTTGTGTTTCCTGGGGGGGCGTGCTGTGGATTTGCTGGAGGCGGCTGGTTTGATCCAGTCTGAGCCGCTCCATCTGCTGAGTGAACCTGAGGGCTGAGGGGTGTCAGCGCCACAGGCTTCACATACACTTCTCTAAGACCAGGTATTGTTGGAGGAGTTGGAGTAATGCAAAGGTGAAGGATATCAACCAGTGTGATAATGAACATCGTAAGGATAAAACATTCACTTAGGATTACCATTAAGAATGCTGGGGCCAACTCTTAAGATCACTACTGGTTGACAGAACAATACATCAGTCAATGATATGAAACTGATGACTTTATCCATCGTAACAACACCTGCAGGTCTGGAATTTCTCACTACAAGCAAAACAAAAAGTTCACAAGGCTCTCATGAACAAAGAAACATGTGTGCTAACTAAAGAGAGCTAGAACTAGAATACAACTGTCTCAATTCAGATGATTTACTTAGCACAGTACCATGTTGTGCACTGGAAACACTTATGCAGTGTGTGAATACTTAACTACTCAAACCAGCAAATGTAAGGGCAGAAGTGCACAATTTGAGACACAGCATAGAGTTAGAACAATGTATTGTTTTCATATGCTAAGCGATTCAACACATGTCTTCAGAGCAGGGATGTATAGTCCTCATTTATGTTAGCCCCAGGAAGATTGTTTTACCAGGTGAAATTGCAGACATGTGTAATGGAATGATAAGTATTGCATTTGTGTGTATAATCTGAACATTTCGTTTTGTTTTTCTTTAATGAATATTATAAAACAATGCAGCTGTTTATTATATATTTGTGTCAATCCTTTTTTAATAGCTTCAACGTCGTGTGTCCCAGAGACTCATAATCAAGGTAGAACAAACCTCTTTCTTTATAAGATTTAGTTGCTTTCCTATTTCAAATAGTGTTATTAAAATTCAGCGGTTTTCATTAAAGGTCCCATCATATGCTTTTCCGGTTATTACCCGTCCCCTTGTGTGTTATGAAGGTTGTTATGCATGTAAACGGTGTGCAGAGTGAAAACCCTGAAAGTACACCCTGTAGCGAGTAAAACTCTAACACAGAAAAGACCTGTCTATGCTGCCCCAGAACGCCTCGTTGGACATTTCTCTTTTTCTTCCTGGGTACAGTGACGTGCCCATACCCAAATGGACCAATCCGCGGAGCCGTTATGTTACGCCCGCGGAGCCGTTATGTTAAGTCCATGGATTGGTCCAAATGGACACGCGTGCCCACGCACGCCACGGAATGGTCCACGGCCAAGAAGCACGTACGAACTGCGCATGCGTGAGTGGCAATAACTCTCCTTACCAGCAGGCGGCGGTAGTGTGTATTCGTCAATCAAAAGAGGCAACAACCGGAAGACAGACTGCGTGATACACCGAGAGAAGAAGAACAGACTGCGTGATATAAACAAACAACAAATAGCGTGTGCGTTCCATTTTCACTCTACAGCGAGAAGCTCATGGGGCTTTCCCCAACCTGTGTCGAGAGCTGGAGTTAAATGAAATCTCAGATTTGCCTTCTTAATCGTTTGTTTGGGTACCTCACTTCCGTTTCGCTTCTCATGCACTGATTCGATAGCTGAACAGCCAATCAGAGTGATTTATTTTGCCGACTGCCTTTGGCCGACTGCCGAAAAGGCGTCGGCCCAGCTGAAAAGACCCGACGGTGCGGGACACACCAATCTGAGTAGGGTGTGTCGACGCTCATCGTCGGCCTGACGCCCACCGACGCCGATAATCGGCCTGGTGTGTCCGTGGCCGTGCCTTTAGGTTCTTTTTCAATTTGAAACAAAAAGTGTTATTCATTCAGAGAGGTGTTTTGTTAACACTAATGGACACACACACACACACACAGACACACACAGACACAAACCTCAGCTTCGTGCTGGCGGCCCTCGATGCTCCACTCTCCTGATTGGCTGTGGAAGGACTCCAGCTTCTGCTTCATGATCATCAGCCACTTCTCCATGTTCAGCAGGCTGTTGTGGAAGCTCTCGTGGTCTGAGATGCTCTCCTCACTCTCTGACACCTTCAGCTGCACAGAAACATCACTCAGTGGCAGAAAGAAACATTTTAAAGGTCTCCTATTATGCTATTTTTAGGCATATATTATGGGTCTCAGATATATACAAATATATAAAAAACATGTCTATGATGTGTTTTGCTCAAAATACCAAACAGATCACGCATTTTAGAAATCCCTCTGTCCCTTTATTGCAGCCCTGTTAGAGAATGGCTGATTCTAGGTCCTTAGCTTGAAAAAAGAAAAGAGGAGGGGGAGCTTGTGCCTGCTCAGAATTCTACGAGATACAGCTAAATGCTGCCGTGATTAAATGCCATATCATGTTCCAAACCACATCAAGGATGATTTCTGAAACAGTATGGAGCTCAAATGCTTTTTCTCTCTCAGGTTTACCACAAGGTGAGTTCCTTTTTATTTCCTGCTTCTTTACACATACTCTCTCCAGTACAGGTTAGCTCTGAGTGTTAGCGATGCTTGCTAATGTAAACAAAGACCATATTACGTCCAAAACACGTCGTGCATTGTTTCTGATAGCGAAGTTTCTTTCAAGTTTCCCATTGAAGGAATGTATGGTTGCAGAGAATAAATTGGTGTGTTTATTATCTCTGGCCTGTAAGGGCCTTTGAGCTTCAAAATAATTGGCTAACTTGCTCGGAGCTGAGAGCTGCAGTGTGCACAGTTAGGCTGTTCTCTCTGTGCTCTACCTCAACAACTTTTCTTCTTAAAATTTGCTTAAGGTGCGATATTTGCAACCAGTCAAAACGATCATCATTTATAATTTCATCCCAATGAGCAACCAATTACCCGTATTACACAGTCATTTGATGCATTATTCATATAAAAGACAATTCTGCAGCTTTAACCATGCGTGAAATGATTCAGAAATTACCGGTGCACATTTCTCAGACAATACTGCTATGAATGTTTAAGGTTGGGCCAATGTTTCTGTTTATTTTTGTATGGCTTTTTATTCCTCTTTTGATCGAGTGAGACACATAAAGCATGTCTGTCTCTCAGCCCTGCATCAGAATAGCTTGACAAATGACAAATAGCCTCTTTACCTGCAGTATAATTACCAACTCTCTGAGAAGATTTTTAGTACACAGTCAGTGGTTTGTGTTTGACTGTCTCATTGTATGCATTACCTGTCATTTTGTACCTTAGTCACCTTTTTTTACTTTCATTAAAATCACATGCAAAAAGGGTTACCAAAACAGCTTGTTTGTTACTGTTTAAGTAGGTTGGACTACTGTAAGGCTCTTTCTACAGGTCTTCCCAAAAAGACCATTTAAAAGCTGAAGCTAATTCAGAAGTATGCTGCCAGGAAAAGGAATAAATGAGAATGGTATCTGTGTTGTTGATCTGTAATATTACAGTGTTACGTTGATTTGTTTGTCCTTCTCGGACCATGCACTACACATTTCAGTGGTTTTGTGTTAGAAAAGAAAGCAACCAATCAGATCTTGTGTGTGTGTGTGTCTTCAGAAGGCCCAGTTGTGATAGACACGGTTCGCCACTGCTATATCATATATATATATATATATATGCTACATGTGTTGTGTGCCATGTTGTTAAAGCATGTTGAGCTGTCATGTGTATGGGGAGTGCTGTACAATAAAGCCTCACATGGCCCTCTCTCACCCGTGCTGCTGTGTGCAGATGTTTCCAGTCGGCATAGAGCCTCTCAAACTGGGTCCTGTTGCTTTGACTGGACGACACCAGAGTCTCCAGTGCCGTGAGCTGGGCCTCACAGTCCTCCAGGTCCTTCTGGATCACCTGGGGACACAAATACATTTTATTGAGCCTGAGTCTTCAGAGATTGTGCTGTTGAGGACGTCCTGTCTTAGACGCTGTGTCCCAGTGGCTACAAGACTTTTGTAAAATGTTTTTACTTCAACTTACGTTTATATAAGTATGTGCAGGACAGCACAGCATTTTTATCATTTGTCACACACATTTAGACAATGTCCCGCTTTGGATTGACAGTCGCCCGTTTTAACCTTGGCTTTTATCCAAGGATGTTTCGAAAGCAGAAGAGGGTTGTCACCATTAGCTGTGTCAAATGCCAATCAACAAAGGTATGTATTTACCATAGGTGTAGCCGGTGGAGGGCGATTCCCTCAGAGTTTTTTGTGACCTTTGACAGATTTGTTTTCAATCCCGCATTGAGGTGATTATGATTTGAAGCGACACTACATGCAAAACTCACAAAAAATGCCAGGCTCATAAAGAAAAATGTCTATGGATACATTCCTCCTGAAACCAAAAGAGGATAACCAAACAGACGTGGTAACAGCGGCTGAAATACAAAACGTTTACTGCACTGTAGAGCAATCCTAATCACACAGCTCGGCAGACTACGCTAAAATAGTAATCATTTTTTCAGACTCAGAGATTGCAAATAAATACGGAAATGTTTACGGATGATGGTTTGTTGGGAAAAAATCTATTCAAACCATATATATTTAATTCCTTCACTTTCATAGTTTGTGCAAACAATTAACCCATAGTCAAATGTGTTATTATATTTACAAGCTAATAGTGTCAATAGAAATGTTTATTTTTAAGGGTTAAATAGACAATATATTTAAATCTAAACTAGCTCTTATCATTGCAGTAACATGTCCCACGTTGTCCTGCACAAACATCCTCTTTGTCCCACATGTGGCTTGTTGGCACCTGGTCAGCCTTAGTGCACCTGGTCAGCCTTAGTGCAGCGGTCATAACAACCTAATTTCCCTCTGGGATTAATAAAGTGTTTTTGATTGATCTGATAACACACAACTATTCATTTTCATTTCAGGCAACTCATGTTTCCACATTGTGTCAGAGATATCTAATCACGTACGTTATCGCTGCAGGATCTCGAATAATAAATCAATCATTCTGACAACAATCAAAGCAAACAGTGTTCACAGTTATTAACTTACTCATGTTTCATTTGTCAACGTAAATCAATGGAAACCTACCTGAAGGAAGTAAAGCACATCACAGCCCACCCTAATAAATAGCTGTTGACTGAAACTGATATTAGTGAATGTAATAAATCAAAAAGCAATTTGTTTTCAATGGATCCAACTGTGTAAACATCTTTTCATCACACTCTTGGGTCTCGTTTTGTAAAAGGTGAAGCCTCCAATGCAGGAACACATGTTTTGCTGTGGTAATCTACTGTAACCATGGCGAGCGTCTTGTGTTCTAACAGAAGCGCTGGCTGTCTGAGACTGGGCCGGTCTTGGATTACTCTCACCATGAAGCGGTCCGCCTGGCTCTTCTTAGCCAGGATGTCGGGCTGCAGGCTGTCGGCCGCCACCAGCTGGTGCCGGAGAGCGGACAGCTTTGAGCGGAGCGACTCATAGGCGGCACCAAAGTCCTTGGTTCTGGAGATTAAGCCCTGAGAGTTGAAGAAATGAGAATTGAGCGTATTGTATTCAGCCTGGATTGGTCATTGTATTTTCCTCCTCCATGATGAGATGAAGCCTGCACAGAGAGGGTCAGTCTTCTAGTTTACAGTCAGTCATCCAGTGGTGGAAGAAGTATTCAGATGCTTTACTTGAGTAAAAGTACCAATACATTATTATCAAAATACTTCATTACAGGTTAAAGTCCTGCATTCAAAATCTTACTTAAGTAAAACAACAAAAGTATTATCAGCATAATGTACTTGAAGTATAAAAAAAAAGTAATCATTGTGCAGAAAAATTCCTTTTATGTGTGTATGTGCAATTATATATGTGACATTTCTAGATAAAATAAGTAGCATTTTACTGCTATAGACAAACAAAGATCTGATTTACTTTTTGTAAAACATTTAAAACTAGTTACATTTTTAACTTAAGTACAGTACTTGAGTAAAAGTACTTAATTACTTCCCACCTCTGGCTTCATCACATGTTAAACCACTATTTTGACTTGCAGGGATAACAATAACCAGGAGGTGTTTACTGAGCTTGTGTACGCGAGTGTGTTTCATTCCTTTAGCAATGGGAATGACAAAGACATATGGAATGTGTGGAACTACAGGGGTGCAGAGTTATTTCAGATCTACCGGCAGCCCGTCTGATGGGTAGACGTCACCTCTGTAGGAATTTTTAACTGACACTGTGTGGCGAGAGGTGGCTGCTAAAGAACACATCCACACAATTGATAATCACACTAATAATACACTGTTACATACATCTGTTTTGTCTTCATATATACACTTTGCTATATTAGACAGCATGTATTCTATTCTATTTCCTTTTACATTCCATTTGATCCTTTTCTTCTTTATATGCAAATGTTTTCCTACTCCTGCAACTTCATTGAACAAGTATGTGTTTTGCACTATTTCATGTCTTTTACTTTTATGTTAAGTATATTGTATGTTGCATTGTTGGAGGAGCCTGAGACTTAAGTTTTCCTATGACAAAAGAAGCCTTTTTTCTCTCCTTAAGGGAGCAGTGTGGAGTCTGATGAATGTCCTCAAGTGAGTTAGCATAGGCTGTGTCTAAAGACTACAAATTCAAGAGTGGTGCAGGAATGATCATTGTGTTATGTTCTTCCTGCCTGAAGGATACCTTGAGTTTCCTCCATGGTGTGGACAGTACACATGAATGTTAGAGGTGTGTGTGTACCTGCAGCCGGCTCTCCCTGCTCAGCAGCTGGGCGTGCAGCAGCTCTCGGTTCCTGACGGCAGCAGTGAGCTCTCCCTGCAGCCCGTCAGCTCTCTCAGGACCGAACACAGAGTCCAGCAGCCCCCCCTTCACCTGCAGCAGGCTGAGACGCTCCTGCAGCTGGCCACTGTCCCGCAGCAGGCGCTACCACAGAGACACAATCAGCATACACACACCACCCTGCAATGCAGTAACACTACCTACCTGCACTATATACTTCCCTTTTGCTTTTTTTGAAATGCTCTTTAATTCTGTTTTTCAAGTTTATACAATCATTGACAATACTTATCAATATTCTATTTTAGCCTTCTGTCATTTACAATGAAAGCACACATCAAGGACTCAAAAATGCTATAAAATAAAGTATGAACATGAACAAGGTTATGGGGGTGTACCTTTATGATATTCAAACAAGGGGGGCTTAGAAAAAACAATAATAAAAAGACAAAAAAAATCCACCCTGGACAAATGGAGCTCAGCGCAAGTTCAACCAGGAAGACCGTCTCTACTCATTCATGTATTTCTATTCCCATGTTACTACTCTCTCTCCTCTCAATAAGTGACCGGGGGCGTCACTCTTCAGCTTAACCAATCACTTCGCTCTATTCCCAAGAGCCTATCATAGCACTCTGTCAAACCTTTTAAATCTGCTCTTCCCCCTCTGACAGCTCTCATTCCAGGTGAATCGGCGCAACCCTCCTCCACCCCTTATCACCTCCTGTCCCTCTGAATCCAGGGTCAAGCTAAACCCCTCCTCTTCAGACCGACCCAACTATCCATTCACCACCACCAGTGTCTAGACCCCAGGGGGGTTTCATCGGATTGGTTCTACCTTCCCGAATGATACTTCCTGCACAACGGGGCCTAATCGCCAAAATTACCATTGCATTCATTTGTGCATCTGCGCAATAAATATGTATTATTACATCAAAACCGTCTCTCTGATTGAAATAATGGTCGTACTGGTGCAACATACATTATCCATCTTTTCAATCGTTGCAATCTCAAGGCAAAGGTATCCTCTCATACTTCCCTTTTTCAATTAGATTTGTGCACTGGTTGCCACTTACCAACCTAAAACTGCAGCAACATTGTTGTGAAATAACATAATTGTGCAATATATATATATATATATATATATTTAAATTGTATTCAATTGTGTGTCTGAGGTAGATTCATTTAATCATATTGTGATAATATTAATGCACTTACTTTAATTTTATAATCAAATCCACATAGTTACTCTTTGGTCTTTGATACACTTAAGTCAGGGTTCATACACTTTTTCACCAATGATTTTCAATGACTTTTCCATGACTTCTCCATGACCTTTACCTCATTTTCCATGACCAAAAAAATGACTCTTTCTCAGCGGTACCACTGAAAATGGTTTATTTTAACATGGAACAGGAAAATAAGGTCTGCATATGAAACATGTTGTGCCTATCTAAAACAAATCAAATAGGCTTACTAGCTTCTACACGCTAACGCAAGTCAAATCTCTCACCAGCAAAATATCTCGACAGTTAAATGCCATTTTACATTTCATTACTATACGATACAGTATTTATTATCATTATAGTATTACTATTTCGGCGATTAGATAAAATATAAATTATATTTGATGCAACTTTAGTTATATTTCCATGACTTTTCCAAAGCTTTGGGAAAGATATTGTTTTCTATAACTTTTCCAGGGCCTGAATTAGCATTTTGAATTTCCATGACTTTTCCAGGTTTTTAATGACCGTAAGAACCCTGTTAAGTATTGTTTTGTGATGCTGCATTGATTTTTCATTTTAAAACACAATCTGATATTAATAGTTTACATAAGTGCTGCACGATTTAGAAATCATTACGTATTTCAAATCATTTTGACTGATATTGCATTTGCAAAAAGATTCTGCACAGTGGAGGGACTGATCATTATTGAAGCATTATTCTCATTACAATTGAAAAAGATGTTAAAATGATCATGATGTGATATTAAAAAGACGATTCCTTACCAAAGAAATGTGTTTTGTTTATTCAGTATACTAGGATTTGTCTTTTTCCCCAAAATGATAAACATATGTATTGCCTAGCATAGTTGAGAAATACATACAATTAGTGTTTACTAATTGACCCCTTTACTCGTCACATCATGACGTAATGCCAGATTCTTTCCAATACACAGACTTCAGAAAATGTCTCCATACTGAATGTCAAACTGAACTTCATAGAGATTTGTAACGTGCTGCGATAGTGAAGCTACTCTAACACAAGCTTTGAACTTGATTTTACTGTTGACTGGAAGTCGGATGGATCTGAATCCATTTGATCTTTTTTCCAAAGGGTGAACAGGTATGTGCATCAGGGGAAAGCAGGGATATTATTTCTGACCTGCCACCCCCCGCTGCTTCTGTTTCCTTTTAGCTTTAGCTTGGGGACCCTTGGAGACACACAGCATCCTGACAGTGGGATTGACATTGTTCATCCCCACTGTTGTATGTCATGTGTAACAGTAGAGACAGGAAGCTTTGGGAGGAGGCTGAACATGTTTCTGACTTTACTCTCTGGTGGAATCCAGAGCACTAACATGGAGCTGAAAACTCATTCAAAACACACTAAGAAGCCTAATAGATTAGCATTAGTGATAGTGATGTTCAGCCTTCTCTGTCTGGTAGCAAACTCTCACAGTTTCATAAAATATGTTTATGACAGAAAATGAAAGATGAGTGGCAACCCCTGGCATGGAGCGGTGTTCTGGTAAACATTTCTGATTTGTAATTAGGATCGCAGTGTGAACAGACGATGTGTTCACTTTCACAACAGAACTGTTGAACTTGTATTAACTCTGGTGTGTTTGCCTGTTTGATTTACTCCGCATGGTTCTGTTTGTAATAACCGCCTGAACCAAAAACAGACCTGAATATGGATTTATGATAGCATTTGTTCAAATTTGTATTGTGATTTTCCTGTACTATAATTGTTCTTCTATAATTAGGTTAGGTAGTACTTTCCCTGTATTTCTATTCGGTGTGTATGTGTATTGTATTCACCAAACACTAAGGAGAATAGAAAAGCCACTTCATTAATTGTTATGTCTGGGAATAATGTTAATGTTGGCTAGACAGTTTGTATAATCTTTGCATTTCATTTAAATAAATACCACTGTTTTGTAGTTTTGTATTTATTTATGCTTAAGGATAATGCTACGGTTTGTTATTGTTTACGACGGGGATTCATACCATAAAGAAGGTTTCAGTGCAACCGTGGATGGTTAAACGTTTTTGATCGTGTTAACGTGCTAACGGGCTAACGTGTTATTGTGATAATAACCTGTAAAGGTTTCAGTCTAGTTGTGTACTGTCTTTACTGAATGCAGTGTTATAGTTTGGTTTTATCACGTTGGTAGTGGACCGTGCAAGATCCAATGTGGACTTGGACTCTGTGAATTACTTTCAATAAACCTTCTGTGACACCGTGGCCTAAGAACGACCACACAATTATCAAAAATATACAAATAAAAAAGGGATGATTCTCTGTAAGTCAATTACTATGATGGCCACCTCTCACATTTGATACATTACAGTTAGAAATAATTAAATATGGCCACTTTAAGGAAATGTGTTTACCTCTATGTTCTGGACCATCATGGCGTTGTTGGAGAAGTCAGTAACCTCAGCCGAGTTCTCCAGAACCTGGAACACCATGTGGCTCCACTGAGCGAACACCAGCAGAGGGTCCTGCAGGATGTTCCTCAGCCCCGACTCGGACTCTGAACACAGCCTGGTGGCTCTGCTCTTCACACTGCAACGTGAGCAAACAGCACACTTACAACAGAGAACAGGGACCGATACTGGAGACACATTTTGACTGGATTTGACCCAAGTACTCCTTGTTATCATTATCAAGTAGGAAGTAGTTCTTAGTTGATAAGATTTCCTAATAGTTTGTTTTTTTCATTTTATAGACCTTTGTTTATATTGGCTTGTGGTCTTCTTTACTGACACTCACTGTTAATATCAGAAAGGCACCCTTTTTCAACTGGGTCTTAGTTTAATCAACTTTGAAAGCATCATTATTTAGTTTTCAATAGTTGCAAATCACACAGGGAGTAGTCCAGCTTGGAAAATTGCATACAGAATTTTTTTTCATTTAGGAAACAAAAATAAAACGAATGCACACACACCGTTTGCCATCTGAAGCAATTTGGTAAACGACCACACTACTTCATAGCCACAGTCCCCCGCATAAATTACTTATAAATTGTATTTATTTCGTCAGCAGAGGAATTCAATTCAAATTGACTTTGCCAGGTATCAACTACATGTATTCAAATCCTTGATGTCTGAGCCTGTTTACTGATAATTCACGTTCACACATTGCAAAACAATCCTAAAGTTAGTGGCACACTGTAACATAAACAAGTAACTTTTTACTTTCAGGTTTTTTTTAAACAGCTAGAGACTTCCTGTCACAAACCTCTGATGTTCTTTGACAACAGCCAGGACATCATGAGAAAGGTGGCGTGAGTCCTCTGAGAACCTGAACAGCTCTTTGAGCTGAGCCTTCAGTAGTTCCACCTGGGACTCCTCCCCTGCCAGAGTGTTCCTCACCCCCTGCAGGAGACACAGGAACACCAGCAGCGTGAGCTCCAGATAACAGGATGCTGTGATAATGTTAGCACAGACACCAGTCGTACACTCGTAGTTCAGGCGTTGTGTATTCCATTAAACACCATGTGAACATCTATTAATTCAGACCATTAAACATCAAAGAAGTGCTGATTCTCTGTCTGTTACTTTAGATGAAAATAAGGAGCCCCTCCCCACGCCCCTCTGAGAGATATTTGATTAAAAAGAACTCAATGGTGCTCTAGGAGGTTCAGGTGATAAGGGGGGGGGGGGGGGGGGGGGGGGGGGTTACCTTGGTTGGTGATTGGCTAATGGTTACACAAGACAAAACATCTTTCTGACATCATCACGTGGCCAAAATCTGATCAGCTCATTTTCAGACAGGTTTCTATATAAATGGATCAGGACAAAAAGAGAGAGAATCTTTGTTCCTGAAACTTTCAGAATCTCTTTACACAGAGGGGACACATGTTGATGAAGAAGAGACATGAAGAAGAGGGGACACATGTTGATGTAGAAGAGACATGAAGAAGAGGGGACACATGTTGATGTAGAAGAGACATGAAGAAGAGGGGACACATGTTGATGAAGAAGAGACATGAAGAAGAGGGGACACATGTTGATGTAGAAGAGACATGAAGAAGAGGGGACACATGTTGATGTAGAAGAGACATGAAGAAGAGGGGACACATGTTGATGTAGAAGAGACATGAAGAAGAGGGGACACATGTTGATGTAGAAGAGACATGAAGAAGAGGGGACACATGTTGATGTAGAAGAGACATGAAGAAGAGGGGACACATGTTGATGTTGAAGAGACATGAAGAAGAGGGGACACATGTTGATGTAGAAGAGACATGAAGAAGAGGGGACACATGTTGATGTAGAAGAGACATGAAGAAGAGGGGACACATGTTTATGTAGAAGAGACATGAAGAAGAGGGGACACATGTTGATGTAGAAGAGACATGAAGAAGAGGGGACACATGTTGATGTAGAAGAGACATGAAGAAGAGGGGACACATGTTGATGTAGAAGAGACATGAAGAAGAGGGGACACATGTTGATGTAGAAGAGACATGAAGAAGAGGGGACACATGTTGATGTAGAAGAGACATGAAGAAGAGGGGACACATGTTGATGTAGAAGAGACATGAAGAAGAGGGGACACATGTTGATGTTGAAGAGACATGAAGAAGAGGGGACACATGTTGATGTAGAAGAGACATGAAGAAGAGGGGACACATGTTGATGTAGAAGAGACATGAAGAAGAGGGGACACATGTTGATGTAGAAGAGACATGAAGAAGAGGGGACACATGTTGATGTTGAAGAGACATGAAGAAGAGGGGACACATGTTGATGTAGAAGAGACATGAAGAAGAGGGGACACATGTTGATGTAGAAGAGACATGAAGAAGAGGGGACACATGTTGATGTAGAAGAGACATGAAGAAGAGGGGACACATGTTGATGTAGAAGAGACATGAAGAAGAGGGGACACATGTTGATGAAGAAGAGACATGAAGAAGAGGGGACACATGTTGATGAAGAAGAGACATGAAGAAGAGGGGACACATGTTGATGTAGAAGAGACATGAAGAAGAGGGGACACATGTTGATGTAGAAGAGACATGAAGAAGAGGGGACACATGTTGATGTAGAAGAGACATGAAGAAGAGGGGACACATGTTGATGTAGAAGAGACATGAAGAAGAGGGGACACATGTTGATGTAGAAGAGACATGAAGAAGAGGGGACACATGTTGATGTTGAAGAGACATGAAGAAGAGGGGACACATGTTGATGTAGAAGAGACATGAAGAAGAGGGGACACATGTTGATGTAGAAGAGACATGAAGAAGAGGGGACACATGTTGATGTAGAAGAGACATGAAGAAGAGGGGACACATGTTGATGTAGAAGAGACATGAAGAAGAGCGGGACACATGTTGATGAAGAAGAGACATGAAGAAGAGGGGACACATGTTGATGAAGAAGAGACATGAAGAAGAGGGGACACATGTTGATGTAGAAGAGACATGAAGAAGAGGGGACACATGTTGATGTAGAAGAGACATGAAGAAGAGGGGACACATGTTGATGTAGAAGAGACATGAAGAAGAGGGGACACATGTTGATGTAGAAGAGACATGAAGAAGAGGGGACACATGTTGATGTAGAAGAGACATGAAGAAGAGGGGACACATGTTGATGTAGAAGAGACATGAAGAAGAGGGGACACATGTTGATGAAGAAGAGACATGAAGAAGAGGGGACACATGTTGATGTAGAAGAGACATGAAGAAGAGGGGACACATGTTGATGAAGAAGAGACATGAAGAAGAGGGGACACATGTTGATGTAGAAGAGACATGAAGAAGAGGGGACACATGTTGATGAAGAAGAGACATGAAGAAGAGGGGACACATGTTGATGTAGAAGAGACATGAAGAAGAGGGGGACACATGTTGATGTAGAAGAGACATGAAGAAGAGGGGACACATGTTGATGAAGAAGAGACATGAAGAAGAGGGGACACATGTTGATGTAGAAGAGACATGAAGAAGAGGGGACACATGTTGATGAAGAAGAGACATGAAGAAGAGGGGACACATGTTGATGTAGAAGAGACATGAAGAAGAGGGGACACATGTTGATGAAGAAGAGACATGAAGAAGAGGGGACACATGTTGATGTAGAAGAGACATGAAGAAGAGGGGACACATGTTGATGAAGAAGAGACATGAAGAAGAGGGGACACATGTTGATGTAGAAGAGACATGAAGAAGAGGGGACACATGTTGATGTAGAAGAGACATGAAGAAGAGGGGACACATGTTGATGTAGAAGAGACATGAAGAAGAGGGGACACATGTTGATGTAGAAGAGACATGAAGAAGAGGGGACACATGTTGATGTAGAAGAGACATGAAGAAGAGGGGACACATGTTGATGTAGAAGAGACATGAAGAAGAGGGGACACATGTTTATGTAGAAGAGACATGAAGAAGAGGGGACACATGTTTATGTAGAAGAGACATGAAGAAGAGGGGACACATGTTGATGTAGAAGAGACATGAAGAAGAGGGGACACATGTTGATGTAGAAGAGACATGAAGAAGAGGGGACACATGTTCATGTAGAAGAGACATGTGTCCCCTCTGTGTAAAGAGAGAGTCTCTTTCCACAGAGGGGACACATGTTGATGTAGAAGAGACATGAAGAAGAGGGGACACATGTTCATGTAGAAGAGACATGTGTCCCCTCTGTGGAAAGAGAGAGTCTCTTTCCACAGAGGGGACACATGTTGGTGTAGAAGAGACATGTGTCCCCTCTGTGTAAAGAGAGAGTCTCTTTCCACAGAGGGGACACATGTTGGTGTAGAAGAGACATGTGTCCCCTCTGTGTAAAGAGAGAGTCTCTTTCCACAGAGGGGACACATGTTGGTGTAGAAGAGACATGAAGCAGTGGATTTTGCATAATAGGTGACCTTTAATAATTGATTGACTCTAGGTCCGGGTCCGTATAGATTGGTGTCTGGGTCAGCTTGTTCAGGCTGTTTTGTTTATGGTTTTACTCCAAAGTTGGTCTGCAAAGATGAAAGTCCCTGTGTTGAGTTGCTCTCCCACACACACTGAACAAATCCACTTGGAAATAACAGGAGGTTTTCATGATCTTCCCATTCTGCCAAAACTGCATGAAACAAGCATGATGCCACAGTTCCAGTAGTTCAACTGTTTTCAGAATAAACAGGTGAAAGCCTGTCTTCTTTGCAGTCTGTCCTGAGTTCTTCTAATAGACCCTTTTCACACCAATGCTGTGTCCTACCACACTAGTACTTCAGTGCTGAGTGCTTCGGGGAATGAAGGAGAGCACCATCAGTTTCTAAAGGCCGGCTGCTAATTGGCATGACTAAATGAGACGCAGCCATAATTATACTCTGAAGAAGACCATGAGCTTAACACTATGTTTATTGTGATGGGATCTCATAAACCAGTGCAATATTTCTATTTTGTCCACCTAACTTTAAAAACTTGGACGTGCTACCCCTTTACATTTAGTTTTTGAAATATGTTTACTGGCCTTTGGTTTTAGCACTGCACTGTGAATAGCATTGTTGAAGCACAACCTCCTTCAACAAAACAGCAGCCATGAATAGCTTGTTTGGACACATCTGTGGAGAGTTTATGGTAAAGCTGCACTAATGTAAAAACCCTCACTTCAAACGTTATCAAAAGTTAACCATTGATGCATCTAGATATATATACACTTGGTTTAACTAACCAGTGTGTTGGTGTCAAATTGAACCCATGGAAATAAATGCACTGCAACTGTTGTTTTCATATACACATACGTACATATAATAATATTAATGCTAATACATTACTGTATATATTTTTATATATATACATGTTATATAATCTAGTACAAGGTGCTTTTTTACTTTTACTTCTTACTTTTATATAAATGTTTTCATTATTTTTTATTCTATTTTGTATCTTTTATTGGACATTTTACTTTAACTTCTTATGTTTACAAGAATAGCTTTATTTCATTTTTATTTAGTATTTTTACTGCAAACTTACTTTATCTTTTTAGGTAGAATTATTATGTTATTATTGTTACTTCTTATTTTCCATTTATCTTTTATTCATTTCATTCTGAAACGGAACAACCGTCACAAAACCCATTTTCATTTTAGTGAAACATTCTTTTTATAATTCTAATTTGTATGTGTAAAACAAACTGAAGGTCAAACCACTCATTGGCATTCAGCTCAGAACCTTGGGAGGGCCTCTTGGATGTGACAGGACAGATTTCAACAGAGACAAAGATTCTTATTAAAACTCTAGAAAGGCTTCTTTTCAGCAGTTGACATTTACTGTGAATTAGTAAACAAATGTATTTATTAAAAGCCCACAAATCTTACTTGGCCTTTCTCCAATTTCCTGTCAATGCAAATAGTCAGTAGTTAAATATTTAAGCCACAATGGCTTATTTGCAATGTAGATAAACTGGAGTTGTTTTGAATCCATTCCACGCGTTAAACAGGCGGTGTCTCAGTGAGGTGACAGTCTGTCTAGAACACAGACGGATGCAGATCTTTAGCACTCCAGTCACACCCAGCAGCCGCTCCACAGCTCCACCTGTTCACTACAATTGCCAGTCCTGCCTTTCATCTGCCACATGCAGCAAACGGGTGTAAAATCATTTCAAAGCTAAAGTCTGTAGGGGCAAAGCTTGTCAGGTTCATCCCCACTTTGTACCTCACAATGCTGCTAATCAATCCCCAGCTAGGGGTGACCTGCCAGACGAAGAGGAGGGTGTGAGAGACCCACAAATAATTAATAATCAGACTGGATACACCTCTCTGATGCATTCAGCAGCTCCACTGACAGGGCAGCAAGAGTCTGTTTTCATGTTGTGTGTAAAAAATACTGTGATGCAGAAAAAGAATCCAGTCCAGAGTCATCAAGTCAGGTCCACTGTATCACCTCTCAGAGGGACGAGAGAAATAATGATGTTATTTTAGGGAGGAAAGGCATCGAGAGAAGGAATCAATCAACTTTCAAATAGAAAAAAATAAGTTATGATAACACCATAAATGTAAGGGAATGTACGGTTTATATTCCCTGACCAAGTGGGTGTTTCTCAATGTCGAGGAAGGCTCCTCCAGAGCCACTATTTCAAGGATGCTACGTCATCGGGTCCAGCCGAAGGATTGTTCCAATGTCCAGGATCCTTGGAATTCTACCGAGGCCAGCATCCTTCGTGGGGGAACATTTCGAGGCTGCACATGTGTATCCTCCGCGGTCTTAAAATCCCCACAATGCTTTGCGCACGGACCAATTTCCCAAATCTTTGGCGGAAATCGCGCTCCATTTAAGGCGGGGCCTCGCATATGACGCACACCTGCACACTTGTTAGCCTGTTCCACCATTCTTCGTTTTCCGAGGCTAGGAAGGATTCTTGCTTAACTAACCCTAACAAACGAGATCTCGCAAAGCGGTCCTACGACGCTGGTTATCAACTCAGGGTTTCTCTGTCCAGCTGAGAGCGCGCTCACATGAAAGGGGCGGGGTTAGCAACATTTGACCAATCACAAACATGGACAAGCGTACTGACAGCGCAGCGTCATACTTCATGAATGAAAAGTACACTATCACGTTAGACAAATATGAAGAAGTTAAACTTTAAACATCCATGACTTAAACACTTTATCCAGGATAAAAGCCACATAGCTGCACCTGCAAGGTGAATACAGCTGGTAAAAGAAAAAGTGTTTGAATGCGTACATTAACAGGTTTATGATATCACTGCCCCGTCCAAGACACGAGTGGATATGACTTTAATTACATTTGACTCGAGTGTTTCGTCAACTTAATGTGTTGCTTAAAATAATACTTCTGCATACAGTATGTGACACTGTGAGTGTTGCACGGCCAGATACGGCTCAGCTGACTCAGATAAGGAAATATATGATACATTATGATGTGATTTGATATGAATGATAATGGGACACATCGACGTCTGCACTCACAGTGCCGCGGACTGTACTTAATGTTACTCTGATCCGGTTACTTATGTTGTGGCAGATATTTAAGTAAGCTTTCTTAACGCTAATGTTATAATAGTCAGATTGATATTCTATTAATTTTCAAAAGCAGAATAGGGCCTCTTTACCTCAATAATACTGTAGATATGTTAAGAAGACGTACCGTGTATTTCCTCCACTGGCCCACCATCTGGTCCTCGGTGTGGTCGGGGGGGTCTCGGCCCTCCCCCAGCTCCTGGTCCAGGCCCTGCAGCAGCACCCTGAGGTGTCCGATGTCCTCCCCCAGCCTCTGGCAGCGGGCTGTGTACTGACTGTGGGAGTCCAGGCTGGAGCGCAGCCCCTCCTCACCCTCACACAGACCCTGCCTCAGCCTCTGCCAGCCCAGCCTCAGCTCCTCCGCCTCCTCCACCACCACCTCCGCCCCAGAGGGGGAGGTGGTGCCCCTCAGCGCCTCCGACAGCCCCTCGATGTGCTGCAGGGTCTTCTCCTCTCCCGCCACGCTGTCGTCCAGACCCTGGCACAGCAGCAGGAGATAAAGATGAGTGGTGTTGGATTAGAAGGTTGAGATGGAAAAAATATCCTACAACCGTTTCATGGATTCTTTTTTTAACATTAAATATTTGTGAATACTGAAATCCTAACAATTAAATGAAGGCTAGTTGCCAAAAAAGTGGAACTACCTCACATGGTCATTTCGCTATAATTTATTCACGTGCATGTTCAATGATTTTTTCATGTATTATAATATCCACAGTTATAATTGCCGAACAGAGTGACTCTGCATGCTCACACACGTCAGCCAGAAACTGGAAGGATCAGGCACAACTATGTTCACAGTCATTTAGAAAATGGAATTGGAAAATGTTCCTTTTTAAAAATTATTATTATTTGAGGATTGTATTCGGTACACGGACATTTTTAAAAATGTGTAATCTGTGCCACCTAAAATTATACTTTAAATATATTATTAAAGGAAATGTAATCTATACATTTATGAATTTTAGTTGTCAAAAATAATAATGACGGTAAAAAGTGTACATTGTTTCCTGTGTTAATGGTTTGTAATCACACTAAAACAAAGACACAAATCATTTGAGATATACACTGTAACATTTGGATAAGATAGGATTCCTATTTTAATATTTAGAATGATGTAGTGTTATACATGTGTCTTAACAAGTTCTGCTGTCATCCCTAATGCTAAATAACCAACACTTATTGGACTTATGATCCATTTATGCTCTTTGTATGTCTTGATCCACCATGACGATAATTATATTTACTTTTTTTAAAGAGTACAAAACCTGTAAATGAGGTCAGCATTTTAACCCTTCCTGTTCTCAAAGTTAATCGATTTTTGAATGTACTTTTGGTTTGATGCCTCAAATAAGTTATGTGGTTAACACAAGCTGAAGAGATTTTAAGTATTTGCTTCACTACATAAAACATGTCAGTAAATACCCCACTTTTATTGAGTCATAAAACATTGGTTGCTAACAAGGGACTGAATGAGACTACTAAACATCATCAGGTCGAACATTAGCCACCATATCGAAGGTGACAACAATCATGTGACTGTGAAGTAGTTCCTAATGTTAGCCTTTTACTTTTTTAGCTTCAAAAGTCATAAAGTGGTATTGATATGTGGAGAGTATCCTGCTAAAAAAACGTTTAAAAAGTATCAGAAACGTGCAATATTCTAGAATCCATGGAAAAATCCCATTGCTTCTTGTCGAGGGGACCCTTGCTCTAATAACTTATAGGTCTGGCTACACAAATACATCATCACTGCACCACTCTATTTCTTGGTACTTTTGGAGTTTAAAAACACATGTTACCCAGCTCAGAATATTCATTCAACTCCAAATACCATATTTTCCCTTCTCCCGTTTAAAGGACAGGTTTAGATACATGCTTCTTAATTCATCTGAGTGCGTCTCACTTGTAAGGCTTTGAGCTTGTTCTCCGCTGTCTCCTCCCTCTCCATCAGATCAGTTAGCTCTTTGGTTTTTGACAGCAGCCAGGACTGGAACCTGTGAACGCAGCCTTGGTATGTCTGGTGCTCCTCAGCCATCTTCTGAAGCAGCGACAGACGCTCCTAGCACAGCAGGGGAAATTTCAACAAAGCTTTGTTCAAATCAACCCACATCTCACAGCAAACATGACACCACATACACACATTTGCGTATCAGAGCGAAAAGTGTGAATTAGTATTCTGAGAGACTGGAATCTATCGTCTGGTTTTTCAACTACAAGATTCTTGAGAGCACATTGCATTTTTAGACGGTGGTGAAGATTATCCCATAAAACATAGCATTATTTAAAACCATACTTCAGAATTAGATATTTGCCATCAGACTGGTGTGTTTATGTAAATGTGTGATGCAGATAACAATGTTTGTGGGTGTGTGGTAAAATGTGAGTGACACTAGAAAGGCTGTCTGAAAAGGGAAGAGGAAGAGCAGTCTCATTATGCGGCTCACGGAAGAGAAAAGCAGCCGACATGCATTTGTTGGTGTGAACCATAGACTGTATATATAAATGGACGTAGGGTCCGTGACGTCACCCATAGGATTCTGCAGAGTTGCAGAGAAGCCCTTAGTAGGCGGAGTCGGCCACTAACGGCTCGACAGCGACGTCAGAGTCTAACTCCCGCCTGCTCCAAATAAGGGCAAAGAGGCGGAGCCGAGGCGGGACCTGCTGCCTCCGAACTGGAAGTAAACAGAGCTAGCTCAGGCTAAGCAGCTAAGCTAACATGAAATACATGCATACCAAGTTACTGCGTGGCACTTTTGTTTTGATAAAACAGTGTAGTTCCACTATATAAACGTTACATTCATAATCAAACGAGACACTCTGCAAGAGAACTAGCTATGTTTTGTTATTCTTAATGCTTGTCATCACGTTAATAAAATAAAAGAAGTACCGATACATTGCAGAACAATTGTGGCGATGTTCAGCTTAATAAGCCTTGTTCAACATGCACGTTTCGCTGCATTCCTTGATCTCCAGTTATAACACCGGACTCCACCGCCCGGAGCTAACGGAGCCGCAGGGGGCTCCGGGACGCCGGCTGGAGCTAGCCCTCTGCGGCTCCACCACTGGGATAATTGGGTCCCCTTTTAACATTTGCTCCCGTTTAGAATTATGGGCGTCATAGCCATATACTATAAAAGTCTTACCCAAGGCTGAATCATAAACGAAACTGTATATATATATGTATACATGTATAAAGGGTTACGTCCTTAGCTGGCTAATAAGCTACATAACAAGCTAAGCTAACAAGCACACCTGCTAACGGGGTTAACATGTATAATATTATCATTTTAGACTTCTTGGAAGGTCTGTTAGTACATTCAAGCGCACAGCACGACATTTTAATTGTCTGGTATTTGTAACAATATTCCCTAAAAGGCACAATCACCACGAACACGGCTAAAGGGTCAAGTACAGTAACTACAACTAGCTAACGTTGTACCCTAGCAGAGTGGACAAGTTGCTGTTAGCTGACAGTGAGGCACGTACCTGTCCATCAAAGTGACCACGCCCTAATTTATGCAAAAACTTTAAGACCTAATATAAAAGGGTTGCGTTATAAAACAATTCACTCACAGATTCATAATCATGAAGGTGGAATCTAACTATATCTATAATAATATTTATTGGATCCATGGGTAGAAACATGTTTTTTTCTGCTGTGAAATTGGGCATTTTAACATGGGGTCTATGGAAATTGCTCCTTTCTGCAGTCAGCGCCTATCGGCCAATATATGAAATGCAGTTTGTGGCACTTCCGTATTGGCGTCCCGGCTCTGCCCCAGAGTTTGCCGCTTGGTGTGAACTAATCCCTCAGTATCTCTCACTGAAGCTCCGGCCACACGAGGACGATAACGGTCGTATCTGCTACAGTTCACTATCAGATAGACGGTTCGGCCACACGAGGCCGACATGGAAAGGCAGAAAACGATAACGATAACGGGTCCCAAGGTGGGTAGATCTGCAAACGAAACGCTCTGGGGGGGCAAACGGCTCCGTGTTTACGCCTATACGATAATTTCCTGATAACGTTGAAGCAATAGCCCCGCCTCTCCCCACCTCTCCTGCTCAGAGATCAGCTGCTGGGCTGTCAGAAGAGGGGGAGGAAAAGAGAGGCTCCGTTTATTATTCTTATATTATTATAGAGTCGTTATTCATTTGTTTTAAAGCTCAATAAATAACAAAGAAGACCTTTGACCGGCACTTTTCTAATTTTGTCCGGAAGATTTAAACTTTAACGGACATGTTGACCGGCGAAAAAAAATCTAACTGAAACTCTGCCGCACGGTCCTCTCGTCCCTTGGAAGAGGCGGAGAGGTGAGTGTGTGTCATCTGCTGGTGGACTACCGGAGAGATTTATAACGCTTGCCTCGGGGAGGGAGAACAGCGGAGAATAAACAGAAGGGCAACCATGGCAACCATGCGCGGGAAGTATTCTTCGCTGCTTTTGTGGCAGCAGAAGGAGACATACAGGAAGGGAATACTTAAGAGAACAGCAGAAGAAGACAGATAGGAAGGGAACAGCAGAAGAAGACAGATAGGAAGTGAACACTTAAGGGAACAGCAGAAGGAGACATACAGGAAGGGAATACTTAAGAGAACAGCAGAAGAAGACAGACAAGAAGTAAACACTAAAGGGAACAGCAGAAGAGGACAGACATGAAGTAAACACTAAATGGAACAGCAGAAGAGGACAGACATGAAGTAAACACTAAATGGAACAGCAGAAGAGGACAGACATGAAGTAAACACTAACAGGAACACGGGGTGTTTCTCAATCGCGAGTACGCTTGCTTGGTAGCACATGTCTGCCGAGCATCTTGCTTCAGAAGCGAGGCAAGAATACTTCCTGGCATTCGGAAAACGAAGTGTGGAACACGCTAGCAAGTGTGCAGGTGTGCGTCATATGAGAGGCCCCACCTTACATCTTCCGCCACAGATTTGGGGAAATTGGTCCGTGCGCAAAGCATTGTGGGGATTTTAAGACCGCGGAGTCTACTCATGTGCAGACTCGATATTTCTCCAAACGGAGTACGCCGGGCTCGGTAGATTTCCAAGTATGCTGGAGATTGGAACAGTACTTCGGCGGCACTCGATGACGTAGTATGCTTGAAATAGTGGCTCTGCAGCAGCTTTACTCGAGATTGAGAAACACCCACAGTATGGGTTCTGGCAGTGTTTAAAGACTGGTTCATGGAAAAGAAAATGTGAACAGACAGTTACAGAAAACCTCCATCAGTGCATATCATATTAAGTTAAGTAGCTGTCGCCGCTGCCTATTTCTTAGCGCAATTAAAAACTATAATTTATAAATAAATTAAATCAAGTTTATATCAATGTGTTGCATAAGATATTTGATTTATTCAAGTTGTTGTGTAGTAAGTAGGGTTGCAAAATTCCGGGAATTTTCAAAGATGGAAACTTTCCAAGGGAATTAACAGGAATAAACGGGAATTTATGGGAATAAACGGGAATAAACGGGAATAAACTGGGAATTTTCAAAATTGAAGGTTGGCTCTTCATAGGGAACTTAAATATAGTTGGGGAAAGTATATTTTAGCATAATCTTGACTAAAACAAACAGATGCCTTTCAAGTGCACTTGAATATCCATACCATAGCACACTGCTTACTGCATAGCTATTGAGACCACACCCCCTACAGGCACTCCATCACATGCACAGATGAGTAATATTTAACTCAACATTCCTGTTTTTGTTCTTCAATTAAACAAATAATTGTTCAATAAAATAATTAAAACTTGTTCTGTTCTAAAAAATGTTTAAATAAAATCTGTTGAAATGTCATGTTTTTTCTTTAATTTTGCATCGAATATTTCCAAAATGTATGTGTATGTGTGTGTGTGTGTGTGTGTGTGTGTGTGTGTGTGTGTGTGTGTGTGTGTGTGTGTGTGTGTGTGTGTGTGTGTGTGTGTGTGTGTGTGCATAACAAAATGATATTCGCCATTTCAAGCAGTTGGCGTTGTTTCTTCAGCTATGTTCTTCCTGTTACACAGAAGCTGTTCCTTAACCAAACAAAGAAATTATCTTTAGTTTTAGGATTAAATTGTTTTCAGTGCATGGATCATTTAGATTTTCATCATTTGATTGTTTGTGCTCTCTTCTCCTGTGCTTAAAGTCTTATTCTACCGGCTTGCTTGTTTGCACTTTCACATAAATCACAAACCCATGTACTATACATCCTGTGCAATATCTGTGTTGATGATTCATAACTATTAATCAATCAAATGAACTCTAACTAACTGACGGATAGAAACCTGGGAGCAGGGAGCATAGAGTGGTGCAGGAATAAGTTCTTAACCAGGAAATTAGTTAGTTAGCATTTTAGCACTTCCATTTCCCTCGTCTAAAACTCAATGGTTTTATGAATGTGTTTTTGGTTAGATCACTGTGGTTAACATGAGTTATGAGAGATGTTCTCGTTTGTTCTACGACATAAAATACATCAGTACATACCCCACTGGTGAATGTCTGAAGCTTCTATGTGTCTTAAAAACAGCGGTGACTCAATGAGACTACTAAACGTCATCACGATGAACATTAGCCGCCTTTAGCTTAGCGGTGGTGACGTGAAGTCATGTGACCATAATGTAGTTTGCTTATAGCCTTTCATTTTGGAAATGTTAGCTTTTTACTTCTGCCGTTGCATTTACACTTTATAAAAAAAAGTGCCCATAAAAGTCCCATAGCTTTTTGTCGAGGGAACCCTTGTTATGCAAACTTCTGGGTTGGCCTACAATAATGTGTCATTCCTACACCACTCTACACGACCTTCTGTCAGTATGCAGCAGGCTGTAGGTGACCAGCTCAGTAGTCAGAGCACAGCAGCAGCAGCTCACCTCCGCCCTGTCTCTGACATCGTTGTAGTCTTCCTGCAGCCCCTCCTGGGCCTGGGGATCCACGCTGGGGTCCTGGGTTCTGTTGTGGAGTGCGGAGGCCTCGTCCAGTAGCCTCTCCAGCAGCGCCGCCTGGCCCTGGATGTCGCTCAGCCCCACCCTCTGCTGGTCCACCTGCCAAAGCTTCTCCTTCACCCCCAGCTGCAGCTCCACCCCCACATCCAGGCTGCGCTGCTGCCTGGTCAGCCACAGCTCAAACTCCTCGTAGGCCTTCAGGTACTCGCCCCAGTGCAGCCACACCCATTCTATACGACTGGGAGGGGAGACACATGAAGAAGAGTGAGGCTGGGTATCTGGGTATGGTTCACCACAGACTACATATGTATATGCAGTGGAGGAGGAGGGGTCGGATTTTACACTTAAAGGACCCCTATTCGGGGTTATATAGATTTGTGTGCATGTTAATGGTCTGTAAAGGCTAAAATCCTAAAGTTCACCCGTCATGTCACATGATTCTTCCTGATATTATTGCAGATCTCCTGTAAGCTGTAGTGTGCAGCACCTGTGACAGTGGATGATGTAGGTGGAGGTCTCCTCCCACAGGCTTTTCAGGTCTTTGAGCTTAGCGTGGGTGTGGTTCCTCAGCTCTTCATCTTCGCTCTTCAAAAGGTTCTCAGCTGCCACAAGCGCCTTGTCCATCTTCAGACGGCCCTCATGCACCGAGTGGTGGATTTTCTGTTCATCAGAGCACAGGGAGCAGCGTTACAGTCAATGTCAAATGTAAACAACATTAGAAGTATCTTTAATAAATAAGCACGACCCTCAAATGGTAACATGCCTGTGAATTAACTAGAAGGGGTTCAAAGGTTAATAATGTAACTAAGAATATCACCAGAATGTGAAAAGGCTACAGTTATGTCAAAGACGTCAATATGTTATGTTTCTACTTAAATAAGCATGCTCACTGAAATAGCCCTTGTGCCTATAGCAGTGATATTGAGTCTGCACTATGGTCCTGTTTATTCCTATGAAAGTTGCTTAGTGGCGCATGAAGGTAGAATTGCCTGACTGTTGAGAAAAAAAGTACCCAGATCATATGGGCCCATAGATATGTTTTTTCTTTTGGCACGTTTCACATCTTTTACGCCCGTAGGATGCAAATTTGGGTTATTAAAGTGATCTTCCTGGCATGTGGATTTACGTCAATCAAAAAAAAATGTTGAGCCCAATGACATGACGGACTGACATGGAGGTTGTAAAACCACCATTATGCCACTACAAAGATTTGCTAAGTTAACACAACATTGGCTTACTTTAATATAGACCAGGGGTGGGGAACCTCCGGCCCCCGGGCCGTAAACGGCCCGCAAGACTATTTTGTACGGCCCTCGAGGTAATTTATAAACACACGCAAAAAAGAAAAAAATTAAAGAAATCTAGACCGCAAAAGAATTAAACAAGCGAGTGCCTGTTTTTCCTGGCCACGGTCAGGGTCCTTGAACACAACACGAGCCTAACGTGTCATCACGTGGTATATGTCTCGTCTGACAGGGGTGTAGTTCTGACGGAGAGCACCAGAACGCCACTCCGGGACTTGCAGTACCCATAAGGAGCCGTACACATGCAGCAGTTTCTGCGTGGCTGTGTCTTTAGTTGAAAGCCCAGTGGCGATCTGTTCCTCTGTCATACTGATCATACAGTCAATAACTTTGTTGTTATTAGCATCTGGTTAGCTAGCTATGCTAACGAATATAAGAAGCTTTTTCTACAACCAGTGAGGTAAAGGCACATCTTTATATGATCATTATAGTTATAAAAAAATAAGAGAATAAAGTAAACGGGTATAAAATACTATATGACAGTAAAAAAAAAGTTGTTATTAATAAACAAGAATAGAGTTTGAAAGATATCAAAAGATTTGTAAAATATCCATAAAGAAAAAGAAAATCTGCTTACAGTTCTGTTTCATATGGGTGTTGAGCAGCGACGTGCAGTCAGTGGAGGCAGGGGAGGCAGGGCCTCACCTGTCATACTCCAATGTAACGGAAAAACAACTAAAGAAAAACGAAATAGTAATAATAATAAAATGTCTCCACTGATCTGTGTTGTAAATGTGATTTATGTATGATTCCAATCGCTTTTTATAGTCAAAATCAGCAAATTTGCCGAGCTCCGCTACGGAGCGATGAGAAGTGAGGCAGGCACGTGCTCTGCCTCTCGTAAGCCCACAGTAACTTGCTGGAGCACGGGCACTAATTTAGCGCGGCCACTTATTTTGTGAGCGCGCTCAAGCCAGTTACTGTGGGGTGAGGTGAGGCACAGATGAGATCTGCCTCACCTCAGAATGCGTCACCCCACAGAAACTGGCTGGAAAGCGGGCCCTAAGCGCATGCCTGTTACCATCTCACTGTAGGTCACCAATGTAATGTATGTAGATCCCTTTATTACATTTATCCTCGCCATCCATAGTCTCTAAATAACTTATTTCACGTATATATGATATTTAGGCTCGCTGGTCTCAACGGCAATGAAAATGCACCAGGGGAGGCAGCCATAACCTCTGCCGCACTGAAGGGGGCGCACGTGAGCCCACAGGTTCTTGTTGCTACTGTAATTCTACGCAGAGACGGTAGACGTAACAACAAACTAGACTTTTGAAACTACAGGAAGATAAGGAGGACTTTTACAAAAAAGTAATGGAGATTGTTGTCCAGAAGGATAGCATGGACTTCATCTTCAAGTCAAGGTAAGACCACATTTGTAATGAAAATGGGATCTTACTAAGAAAGAACAATCCAATATTTAGATTTTGGGTATCCTTTTGTTGAACGGTCTGTTTAAAATGAATCGAAGCATCAGACTAAAAAAGCTTTTGAAAATAACCGAATATTTCGATTAAGGTCAAAATATAATATTTGTAAATCTGACTCAGTGAGTCAGTGCCTCACCAGCCATGAACCTCACCGCACGTCACTGGTGTTGAGAGATGTATCCATAGATCTCCTAATGTTGCTCTCAAAGTGCACCAGATTGATGCTTTTAACTTCAACATTTAAAAAAAAATCTTCCCGGGGGAGTATGCCCCCCGGACCCCCCTAGCGGAGGTTAGGTCCCCCCCCACTTAAATCATGTCCACATGGATATGAAACTAAATACATTTGCACACATCTTGTGTCCATATCTTTCTGTTTTGGTGGTCATGCCACACCGTGCACGTGCATGCATACGCAAGTCATGGTAAGATATCTGGATTAAGAGGTTGCTTTTTCTTTGCACAGCATGAAAGAAAGGCCAAATGAATGGGCTGTGATTTTAGTATTTTTAAGCAGAGGTCAATAATTTGTACGGCCCTCGGAGGATGTTGAAAAAATGTAAATGGCCCTTGAGAGGAATAAGGTTCCCCACCCCTAATATAGACCCACATGTGAACATTCTCAGAGAGCCGTGTTATTTTTACTTTATTGGCCTCAACAGTCTGCACTTAAATGGAATTTGCATAGTCTCGCTTTGTTGCTGTTTGGTATTTTGATTCTTCTTTTCAAACGGATTACTATAAATCGAGATTGTATGGACCCAGTAGTAAATGCACTTTGTTTCTGAAGGTCTGCCATTAATCCAGTAGTGTGTTTTATTCCCCTTCTTATGAGGATGTATCCCATGGAGGTTTTCTGGAATATTAATTTTTCTCTGTGATTTCTTACATTTTATTTCTATATATAGTAACATGTCAAGAGAAATTGGAAGTTTCTTCAGACACTGTACTCCATTTAAAGAGCAGTTGTCCCACTCTGGAGTCTAATGAAAGACTGAAGTAGGGTCAGGGGTCACCAAAGGGTCCAACAGAAGGTGAAGTATCTCACCTCTGTCTCCCTGAGTCGGCCCTCCAGGGCGTCACGGGGCCCCTGGGTGTTGTCGTTGGCCTTCAGCCTCTCCTGGACAACCTGCATCCAGGAGAGGGCCGCCTCCAGGCTCTCCTTGAACTCCTGCTGTGTCATGACCAGTCCCAGGCCTGAAACAAAAACACAGGTCAGACTCAGGTCCAGTAGTCTCTCAGAAAGGTTCCTCATGGAGTAAAATGACCCGGAAGTTTCTAAGTACCAGCCATGGCAAGAGCTTTCCTCTAGAGGAGGAGCCTCAATGCTTCCTTTATTATATCCTCTAGCATAGGATACACTGGACCATCCTCAACAAAAGGAAAGGAGATAATCTTGTCCCACAATTCCTTGCAGCCTGAACATTCAAAGTGACACCAAGCGATTTTTTACGAAAACATCTGATCATGACTCACAAACGCAGATCATGGAAGTTACAGTGCCTATGATGCATAAACCTGCTAAAGGGCTTTTATGTTTTGAACTTTCACCAATATGTGTAACCAAAAGGCAAACTATGGATGTTACGCTAACTACTTCTAAAATGATCAAATAAAGTCAACATTCAGTGTTGTTAATGTGGAGGTTCATAAGCTCTTTTTAGTTCAACATGTTTGAATACCGATATGCAAAGTAGTAGATTTGTAAGATTCACAAGTAATGCATATATCGCATAAAGTGTTATTGATGCAATTGTTTTGATAAAGTTATGTAATTGGGATTCATGTCAATTATTTAAGTGGACAGTAGGGTGAGCACAAGCAACCATTTTGAATGTGACAACTATTTGCTGTCACTTCCCTTTTTTATTTATTTTCCAAACTTGCTAATAGAGTTCTATTTTTCACTGTTGTTCACGATTCTATAGCTGTAGGGGGTTGGTACGCTGTCAGCTGTTTGATCCCACCTCCTGAAAACATGTCAAAGTGTCCTTAGGCAAGATATCTAACCCCAAATTGCACCAGTCGGCATGTCTATGGAACTGAAGTGCATGCAAGTCGCTTTGAATAAAACTCAAAGGAAAGCTCAGGGTTTCTAGAAGCATTTCTTGTAGTCCATGTATGGAAAATGGTAGTTTCACCACAGCAGACTCATGTAAAAAAACATCCACAGTTTGGCAGTTTATGTGCAGTCTGATCTTATCTTTCGTAAGTCCTGATGAATTCCCCTCCACATCGTTCCTCAACCCCATGATGTTATCCATCTAGCTCAAGGAAAGTTGTTATGAATAGATATAGTAAAACATTTGTTTTGACTGGGCCTCTATATCAGAAGGCCTTTCATGGCAAAAATAAATGAGAGCAAGTGGGATAAATGTGCGCAATAGCGACTGAGTGAGCGAGCGAGAGAAAAAAGGGACCACTCGAAAATGTTCTTCAATCTCAATCTATTGCAGCCATTCCATTCCAGTGTCTGTCGAATTCCAACACAGAGAAATGTTGTCAGTAGTTTATAGAATAAAATAAAAACATTTTCATTTTACAGATACCTATAAATAGTAAAACCAGAGAAGCTGATAATGCTGCAGTGGGCTCTTAATTCCTTCCAGAGCTGTATATATAAAATATATATGAAGTTGATAATCATTCCCAGGTTAGTGTTACAGGCAATCCTTTCGCTTCCTGTTCCTTTCGCTTCCTGTTACATGCAAACGGCTCTCTGTTCAAATACTCCACTCCAACAATTTCATTTTGAAGGAAAGTAAAAACATATTTTACCATTTTTAACAGAAATATTTTTTTACAAACTGGGAGCTTGAAGTTTGAACAGCCATTTACAATGAAGGCATGGTATAACATAAGGTTCAAATTGGTGGCATCATGGGAAAGCTTGTTTCTTTGTAGGGACTGAAATGTATTGGCATCAACAATATTATTTTCTTAAAATTAGTCCCATGATTGTCTTTCAAATAATGTTTTTTCGCGTCCAACTGAACATACTCGTTATATTTCCTTCACTTTTGGAAACATTAAAATATGTTGTCCCCAGTCTAATGTGCATTTTCAAGAAGAAGTTAATGGCACATTCCAATAAATCAGGAGCCAGCTTTGGGCAGATAGTCAGTGTGCCCTCAGGAGGAAACACTCAGAGAGAACACAACTGACGGAGGTATTCAAGAGTCTGCAGTAAACTGAAGGGAGGAGTACAGTGCTGGCACAAGACAGCAGCACAGAGGCACCACTTTCCTTCTTCGAGGGAAAACAAAACGCTGAAGCCATGAGACATTGTCCTCATGACTCACTTCCCCCACCACAACATTCCTTCTGCCCAACATCTGCTGCTGGTGTTCCCTCCGACTCTTGAAACTTAGTTATATTTAGCCCCGGTCCTCAATAAAAATGAACAAAAACATGTATGCTATAACTTGTGAAGAGTCTGAATACAGTTTGTTTTCTTCTTTTAAATAAATGTTTCTAATGTTTACATCTGTTTTCATTATTTTATCTGACAACTCGACAATTATCACTTTCTATCTTGGAATCCAAATTTGTCAAAACTATTTAATTTGAGGAGACAATACACATTAAATCCACAATGACCTAAAAAAACAAGAAACATTCAGTATTATCAGAGAAGTAACTAAGTAGATGTACTTGAGTACTGTGCTTAAGTACAATTTTGAGGTACTTTGACTTGAGTAATTCCATTTTTTGCTTCTACTCCACTACATTTAGAATGAAACCTTTAGTTACTTTGCAGATTTGGATGAATGATGTGAAATATAATCAAGTCTTAAAGGTCCCATGTCATGCCCATTTCTACTGATCATAATTCCATTGTTGAGGTCTACTAGAATAGATTTACATTGTTCAATGTTCCAAACTCACATTGGTTTCTCATACAGCATCTCTGTATAGTATGTGTATTCACTCTCTGTCCTACACGCCTTGTTGGAGCTCCTGCCCCCCCTCCCTATGAGCCCACTGTGCTCTGATTGGTCAGCTCGCCCACTCTGTTCCGATTAGTCCACCACCGTTACAGCGGAACATCAGTGATTATGTGTTACAATGGCGTTAGCAACCAGAAAATGACACCAGTAATGACAAACAGATGAGAATGCTGCGTGGGGTCTGGGTGCCGTGTTGGCGGGACGTTGCGGGGCTCACTGCTGCGGACAGTGTGAGCTGGATTACTGGTGTCGTTTCCTGGTTGCGTGGGGGTCTGCGAGACAGCGAGACACCGCGAAACTCAGCCTGAGCACACACACACACACACTCGTACCCTGGCTGTGAGTTTGTGTGTGTGTTCAGGCTGAGTTCAGGCTGAGAAATCCACGGAGCTGCGGCTGAGAAAAGATAATGCTGAGTGAGTGTGTATGTGTGAGGAAGTCCGCGGACCGTTACGTCACTACGACCAGGAAGAAAAAAATGGAAAAATAAAAATGTCCAACGTGGCGTTCTGGGGCAGCAGAGACAGGTATTTTCTGTGTTAGAGTTGTACTCGCTACAGGGTGTACTTTGAGGGTTTGTGACTTTGCAGACCGTTTACATGCAGAAAAAGCTACATAACACACAAGGGGACGGGTAATAACCGGAAAAGCGTGTCATGGGACCTTTAAATCAAACTTTAGTTCCACCTGGAGTAAATTCACAAGCTACCCTGCAGTATACAAAGTCATTAAAACTAGCTGCACCTTTACCAGCTTTGATAACACTTTAATGATCAGTAATTATAAAACATATAATATATATTATTCTGAAATGGACCAATCTGCACAATGACTACTTTTACTTTTGGTCATTTAACTATATTCTAATGCCAATACTTTTGTACTTTTACTCAAGTAAACCTTGAGTATTCCTACACTACAAGTTACTACTACTTGTACTTACCTTTCCCACCTTTGAGTATTATAGATGTGATGGGGTTAGCTTAGCAGCTACATTTCTATGGTATTAGTACCAGTTTATATTTTTCTCGGTCTCTTTAGCACTTTATTACTCTATTGGCTACTTTCTCGGTTTTAACAGAGGAACAATTTAAACAAGCGTCATAATATCCCCGTCCATTTGGAAACAGTTAAATTTGTTTGATGAATGATAAACTGCTGCAGTCTGTTGAGAGACAGTGAAGCCCCGCCTCCCTTAGTTTAACAGCTCGTGCAGTTATTAACTCGCACATTAACACTAATCCAGTTGACTCACACGTGCCACTGACTGCGGTAATACTCACTATTTGTTGTCATACTAACTCCGGTTACCGTGCTTATTTTTAATTCAAGGACGCTTATGTATACAGTGACTTTTTAACACATAACAAAAGTCTGGTATTAATGACCTATATGCTATGCTAACTTGGAGGTGATGATTCTACGTTACTAGTTGCTAACGCACTAGTTTACGGTTTATATATGGGTAAAAAACGTACATCTCCGCGGCTCATTTTAGTGCAGTAGGATAATCTAAGGCAGAACTGACGTAAACAAGGGAGACTGGAGGGGTTTCCTACGTTTGTAGTTAGAGTTAGGCCTACAAAACATTAAGCTAGCTGGACCAGTGTACATGTATTGGTCAAGTACGGCTTTATAAGGTTAGAAACACTTACGGCTTTGTGTTCATCAGGTGTTAGCAGCCGTTAGTGTGATTGCTGTCCTGCTGTATTCTGCACAGAGAAGTTGTGTTAGCAGCAGGAAGTAGAGCTGAGGGCACAGGGGGCGGGGCTACTGGAGTCAACCGTCAACACGCCTGCCATGCTGCCTTCACAGACTCCTTGTAAACTATAAGACCAACCGATATTACAACAGATATTCAATTTTGGTTTACTACTAAAGTGTACAGGTACATTGACTTTAGACAATACAATGCGTTTCAATGTAATAGAAAAACAACTGAACAATGAAACTGAAGCTAAAGAAAGAATGAAACAAGTGCGGATACAGGATGAAAATAATCTTATATAATTTGAGTGTGTTACATTTTTATATGATACAAAAATAGATAAAAAGAATAATAAATAAAAAGATATGCATAAATTCAAAGATACACTGAAGTGTGATATTTTCCAATGATCAGGGGATTTCACATTTTTTTTCTCCCATAAAACCTTTTTTTTTATTAAAGATTCAAAAGTTGTTTTAGGTTAGAAAATATGTAAAATGTACATTCTTCTTAGTTATGATGTGTTTGCTTTTACAATTAATAATATATGTGTATAACTAAACAGCTATTGTATATTTAATAAGGAATGTTCTTCTAAAAACTTTAAGTGATGCCTTCAGGTTGTAAGAGCAACCAGTGTCCGTGGGGGTTTACAGAATTGGTAATTTATTTACTCATAATACAATTTAGCTTTCTCCTGAAAAGGTTAATATAGACATATTTCAGTTATCTGTGAGCATATTTAATTATTTATTTAATGCATTTTTAACCAAACAGGCATTTCAGATATTTGTAATCTCTTTAAATCGTATTTTAGCTCATACTGTATTTCTGAATTTCTGACAGGTTTCTTCAAACTCATACCAAGGTTGCGGTCGAATAGTCCAAAAATCAGCTCCTATCGTCTATCCCTATCGTCTATTCCTTGACCTCTGTGTGAAACGTCACGGGGTTAAGGGATAGTGGATAGGAGAATTCAAAAGGATTTAGGAGAAGAGACTGCAGTGCTTTGAGAATCCGACTGCACTTTCACTATCCGACGTGTTTATGATGCGCCAGCGGACGTCATGAATGTGCGTCTGCTGTGGGGAAACTACAGTTTTCTATACAGCGGACTACATGATGTAGAATAAGAACGACGGACTACTGTAAACACATCTATAGACTCTGCACCGTGCTCTGATGGTGTGAAACAAATGCTGCTATGGGGCAGCATTTCCTCCTTTTCTTTCGTAAAGGAAGGTCCAGTGGTTCCTAAGCTAAAGGAGGTTATAAAGGAAGTTTGAAACCTCCTTTCCTATCATCTAGAGAATTCGAACGGTTCTTATCATGGCTGCCACTGAGGTACTTCCGGGTCATTTCACTCCGTTAGGAAGGTTCCTAAGCAAAATGTACTATTCGATCGCAACCCAAGTTCCGCTCATAGTGTGTTTGCATGTTTCCAGCAGCACATGAACTCACCAGCAGACCAGATTGAACCAGAGGAAGACACAAATCCCTGCAGCTGTTGGCTCAGAGCGTCTCACGTCACAGATTCAAACTGCAGGCCGCCTCTCACAACTGGGTTCCTATTGGCAGAGAGGCTACTGTACCACATTGATAGGACTTCAAGGTTCAAGGTTCTTTATTGTCAATCTGACATAGCTACAGAGTAATTATGTAGTTGAAAATCTTATGTCACAGGCTTCTCCAACAATGCAACATAATAACATAATAACAATAAGAGCAAGAGCAATACAAAAAGAATAATAGTGAATAATAGTTATAAAATAAAATAAAGTGATGATGTGGAATAGTGCAGTACTTGGCAGCTGTCTATGAATGTATTAAGTCAAAATGTAACTGCTGAAATTTATAATTAGGTTACATTTATTTGATTTACAGAATTTATGTCTGCTAACAAAACAAAAATTGACTCATTCTTGTCTATAAAGCAAATATTAACAACCAGATCAGTTTTACTATGCAGCATGTAACCAGCTTTTATTTACATGTTTAACTGGTGTAGAGATTGATTCACCCTAATTACAAAACAATATATTTTCTCACTTAACCCTATGAGAAGAAGAATATAGCAATGCAGATCGCTTTGGTAATGAGATATCTATAAAAAAATAAAGTATGTACTGTGGATCATCTGTATTAACGGTAACTCAAAATGTTCACAAGTAACCGTTAGCAATATAGGTGAACTGACTCTTTTACACTTTCCTTCCTCCTTCCTCTTCTATCTATTGACATTAAGAACTGTACTGACAGACAACTGATTCAAAGTGCAGCTGGAATGCATCCAACATTTTGGGAAAGTTAATGTATATTCAAGTTGGAACTGAATAGAAATGTCTTGCTAATTTTCAGTATCAGCCTGGCATTAGTTAGCTGGCATTTAGAGTAATTAATTATATAAGGTTGTGTTGGTTTTAAATAAACTACTACAATATATATATATATATATATATATATATATTAGGGCTGTCAGTCGATTAAAATATTTAATTAAATATTTTAATCGACTGACAGCCCTAATATATATATATATATATATATCAGGGGGTAGCAAGTTCGAGTCCCACTGCAGTCAGCATGTCGTTGTGTCCCTGAGACACTTCACCCCAAATTGTTCCTGTGGGGATTGTCCACAGTACTGAATGTATGTAAGTCGCTTTGGATAAAAGCGTCTAACAAATGACATGTAATGTAATGTAATATATATTTATAAATGCTGGGAGAGAGGACAACAAAAGGATAACTAATAATTGATCTCTTTTAACTTTCTTAAACGAACTATAGGGACCATTTATTGCATTAATGTTTATATAGTATGTCGTGAAAGGATGTTGGTCTTTATAACTTTGAATAAATATACAATATTTTTTTTTAAATCTGATCAAATTGTGTAACCACTTCCTCTTAAACACCAGAACATTTAATTTAGGAATTAATCCTAGCATGTAGAGGTGTGATGTCTGTTGCTACTGACTTACAAATCAGAATTAGAGTTGTTTTTCCATTCAGCTCGACCAGAAGTATTTTTATTTCGAAGGCGTACCTGTTCCTGCTTTTTTGCATTTCCACAATAAGGGCCCTGAGATACTCAATCAATGTCAATCAATGTTTATTTATATATCACAAATGTTACATTTGTCTCAGTGGTCTTCACAGTTTGTACAGAATATCAGTATGACAATATGACACCCTCTGTCCTTAGACCCTCACATCGTACAAGGAAAAACTTCCAAAGAAACCCCACAGTTTAAAGGGGAACATGGGAGAAACCTCAGGGAGAGCATCAGAGGAGGGATCCCTCTCCCAGGACGGACAGACGTGCAATAGATGCCGTGTGTAAATTGAAAAGATAATACATTTACAACATAGGTAGTCCAAATGTTTGGAAATGTGTCTATAATAAGAAGATGAATCCACGAGGATGTCAACAATCCTGTGGGAGCCATCAGGGAAGTAGTATGATGAGAGTCAGGCAGGACCACAGAGACAGGTTCAGCCACGACTCGAAATCCAGGACTCAGGATCCAGGACTCAGGATGCAGGATCCAGGACACAGGACCACAGCAACAGGATTAGCCACGACTCAGGATCCCGGCGTAGATAGACACCAAAAAGAAATTTGGGGGAAGCTGGGTTAATCGGAACATGAGAGTGCACAGGTACAGACAGAGAGAAGGAAGAAGTAAGGTGTCCCCTGTATGATACTGTATGAAGCTTTTCTGTTTCATGATCTAAAGCAGCATCATAATTGGTAAGCTTCCATCCCAGGGTACGTGGTGACTTTATTTATTTGCCAATTTGGCATCTCTTTTTCTCCTACTAATGGCGCGTTTCCACTACAGCGCGCAGCCCGGTTTAAGAGGGCTGTGACGTCAGCGGCCCGTCTTTGGTTGCGTTTCCACTTGGCCTAGTACCGGCCGGCGGGTCCTAATTCACAGTTTTTCTGGCCTCATAAAATCGTGGGTCCAGGGCCAGAGACAACGAGGCTGAGTCGGGCTGAGTATGCTAAACTAGAGAGAGCGTCGCTGGCAAGGGGGATACAACTACAACAAGATGGACATATTTGACCGTGATTTAATTGTAATACACGTTTCAAAATGATGCCGAAGTAACAACATACTGATACCGGTTAGTAAAAACCATGAATTAATGCTTTGTCAAGTCTGCAGACAGACGGCAGGGGAAAAACCTTTTAAAATGCTTGTTTTCTAAATGGAGATTGGCTAAGCTAACGCAGTATATGCTCCGACCGTCCACACTCACAACAACGGCCTATACAGACATAAATAAAGCAGCGACTGTATTCACCATGACACAGGCAGTCTGTGGTTTGTACTTGTTTAACTTTTGTCTAGTTTCTGAACATATATGAGGAGCTGTGAGCTCTGAGTGCTAACAGCTAACGGCTGTGTTGTTTTTCTGGGGTCCTCTGAAGATCACGTCACGGCTCCGCCTACACTGCGTTACTCTAGATACTGCCCCAGTTCCTAAACTGTAATGGAAATGCGCCATAAAGTGAGCCAGTCCTAACGAGGCCCAGCCATACCGAGCGGGGCCGAGCGAGGCCGTGTAGTGGAAACGCGCCATAAGTGCACCATGTGTCTGTCACTATGATGCAGGGAGGTGGACCAAAAAGCAGAACAGCAGCAGGCAGGTTGTTATTATAAAAAGGAAAGCTTAAGTCCACATAAAGGTGGGGATTACAACACATCTGAGGAAGCAGGCTAAAGTGGAAAAGCAGCAAAATACAACCAGCACATGTCTGGAGGAGCAGCAGCCTCACAGCAACAGGTGGTCAGCAAGTTCTTATGAATGGTGCCAGCGACTCTGACTGAAGGGCTCAGAGGGGCTCTGTCTCTACACAACATGTGGTAATGATCCGTGTGGCTGTCTGGCATCAAGACGACTTTTCTTTGTTACCGGATCTGCTGCCTGGGAAATCACAGAACTATACATAGCCATCTTGACTGAGCGGATTTCTACCTCCCAAGCTGTGCCAAATTGTTGGTCTTCATGAAGTTAAGTCAGAAAGCTTTTTTTTTGTTTCTGTATGC